CTCCACTAGTTACAGGCCTCCAACTAGACTAGTTTCTATAAAATCAATAGCGTTTTCAGGGCCGCATTGCATTTATTGGATGGACGTGCCTGTTTCACTTCCAGCTGACAAATCTAGGTTAGTCGGGTGGTGAAGTTTTTAAGCCACCAGCATAGATGAATATGCAAATGGGAAGTGATATCATCCAGTCCCATAGGAAAACAATTGTGACAGTTTTGACAGGCATCTGCTTTCCAGCTAAATAATCTGTGAAATGTGAACATTAATTTATATACAGAAACCACTTTGCAGAAACACGCATTGTTTTGGACACTTATGTTGCAACTGATTCTTTCAGATTCAAGTCAGGGAATCTATAAACTCCTGTAAATGTTGGCACAGTCTGAGTTGGGCCGTTTGAGAACAACAGCCTTCTCTATGGTAGAATTAGGCACACAGCTGTTTTTGAGGGTTTTTTGTGTCAGACCCAGTTGTTGTGAGATGACAGGAAATAAATCAGTCTCAGTCTCTCACGTATTTCTTCTGTGCATTGTGTTTGTGTGAGGGAAAAGATTCCTAAGTGAAGACTAGGAGTTAAGGGATTGCTATTACCCTCGATTGAAAAAGAAAAGGATTTTAATTTTAATGTCTTTCATTGGCTGGTAGAAGCTTTAGATCATTTTCCTCGATAACTTGAGTTAACATTTGAGTTTCTCCAACAGCTGAGCATTGGGAAAAGGAGTCATAGTGCAAACAAACAGAACTTCCAAACCCGAAATTCTAGAAAACCTTTGAAACAAATGAGTTTCTTCATTCCTTCTGCAAGAGGACTTAGATCAGATTTTATTTCTAGGCCATGGGCTGTAGGCAGTCGTTCAAGTTTCTTTTATCTCATAAAACCCACATTCTTCATGCAGAACTGGAAACCACTGTTGTGAAAGGAGCCTGCTGTGCTGCTCTGCATAATTGCCTGAAAGCAGACACTTCACTTGAAACCTGTTGCTTTTTGTGGCCTTTGTGTTGTTTATAATAATGAAGGAATGAACGCTGGCTATTAAACATCTTTCAAAGAGAAAATGCACTTTTGGTAAAAGGGAGAGCACAGAGGTTAACATTTAATCATAGGAGCACTTCAAATGATTACATCGCTATACCTGTCAATAAACACCCGTGCGTCAGGTGCCTGATACGGAGTAACATCAAGTTTAATTAATTCTTTCAGATCGAGAAGCATCATTTGATTAAATGAGAGAGTATTTCTCCAAGTTAGTCTGCTTGCAGAGGTGGTCAAATTAGGTTTGATATCACAAAAACAACTCTTCCAGATTATAATTGTAGTGTACATAGTACGTAGTGTACATATATATATTCACACAGCTATGTATGTATACACATATGCACTCAGTAAAAACTGGGCAGAGCTGCTGAAGTTATTCTCAATTTTCTAGGAAGTTCAGAGCATTATTGGCAAAGAGAGTCAAACTCTAAAGGATATCATGGAGAAGCTCCGGATCAAGTATTCTGAAATGTATACAATAGTTCCTGCAGAGATTGAAGCACAGTTGGAGGACTGCAAGAAAGTATTGCGAGACCTAGAAGACAAGGTAACTGGATGTAATTTTCATGTCTACCTTTTTGTAATGTATAAATAATTGCAGCAGTATTTTATGAATGTCGTAACTATAAATTTCAACTTGAAACGTTATTTACATTTGCATTTTCTTCCTGTTAAATGCGTAAGGAAAGATTCCTCATGTTAACTGTCTCCTTTCAGAATAACCTTACAGTAAGCAGTGTGAATGTAATATCTTTTCTGTTAAAAGAGGACGTGGCAGAACTACTAGCAATAAAGTCTTGGATATGAGATGGATGCTGTCTTCTGTCCAGTCTGATTGTTAAACTGAACTACTCGTCAAAGTTGATTGGGAACTTTGCATAGGTTAATTGAGAAGATATTTTCAAAACTGAGTTAAAAGAGGACTTTGAAACCGACTCTTCTTTCTCTAATTTGCACACACAGTGAGGTGTCTGGCATGATTCTTTATAACACCACTTGGGACATGGCTGCATTCCTTTCAAAGCAGGCAGGGAATTTAAACCACTAAATTATATCACCTCGGTTTTCTGCAATGTATTCTGTCTATGGTGTGTGTAAACAGTTAACTGAAAGCAAAATTAAAGGAAAAGGGAGTCATTCTGTAAGTTTGGGGTCAGATTTTAGCCTAGTATAGTTATTATCATTGCTATTTATTCATTTGGTTTACTTTTAAAAGGAAAAAGAATCTCTCAGTTCAGTTATTTCAGAAATAATGTTTAATGCAATTTTAAAGGCTAAATCTCAGTTAATTTGATAAAACTTGAAAGTTTTATTAAACAATTTTGAAATCCAGTTACTTGTTACTGTTCATCAAATTATTCATTCATTTTATGTTGCATTAAGTATTTAGAGACACATTCATTACAGCTCATTAGTTTTAATTTTGATAACTTTGTCATTTCTGTTTCGAAATTGAAGCAGTCTTTTTAGAACCAACAACTGAGTAGGACAGAGAAACAGAATGGAAGTAAAACAGTATTTATGCTTTGGCTTGTTGTTTTTTTGCTGCTTACTGTTTCATTTACTGAGATAAAATATTATCCCAATACACACTTTATATGAGAAAGAACTGGTTCTGGAAACCAGATAACATTTGCTTTTCACGTTTAGGTAGTGAAAACAGTATAAACTGTCTTGGAATTTTTAAGAATGCATTTAGGAAATAAAATAAATCAGAGCCTCTTATTTTAGTAATAAATCTCTACATTTATAATTAGAAATTATATATTGATGCACTTCCATATTCCCTTATTTCTTGCATGGAAGTGATAGCTGTCAGCTGAGACATAAAGACGTCATTCTAGGTTCCTCACAGCACGACTCTAAACGTGGTCCTTTGCACAGTGCGGCACAATTGGCCTCTGTTACAGAGCAGAACAGGGGCAGCTGAAGCAGAGCACCCAGGGGGTTGCAGTGTCTTACTGTCTGTTTCTTCAGGAATTGCCTTTCTGGACCGGTCGCTTTTAATTTATTGGAAATTACTGAACAATAGGTAAATGTTGGACCTGCTCACACTAACACTTCTCCCTGCAAATGTAATTCCATTCCTGTGTTTTTGAGTGACTTGACAAGAGAAACATGAAGAAAATTTGAGTATTTTTTGTGAGTTGGTGCACAGAAACAAGCAGATCTTTGTAATCTCCCTTATCATTTTCTCTTTCCTCTGCTAGGTTAGCTTTGAAATCTTGCAGAGCTCTCCTCAGTATGTGCTGAAAAGAAAAGCAGAAACTATTAACAATGGTCTTCAAGCTATTGAAAAGATGTTAGAACAGAAGAGTGAAAACATTGCAAAAGCCAAAGAAGTTCAGAAGGTAATCTTGCAAAAAAAAATCTGTGGGTGTTAAAAGATTTTTGGTTGTTTCTACAGAGCCTGGTTTAGCAGGAGCGTAAAGTGGCCCTCCATTCATTTTACATCTGTAAAAGGAGAAGTGCAAGCAGGCATGTGGGTAGTGAATATTTACCAGTTCTTTCTCACAGGAAAATACATGTCTTTTTAAAACTGAGAATCACACCGATAGATGCAGAGTGTTCTGTTCTTGTCATATCAATTCCAAAATCTTTGCAACTCCACATGGCCCACGGGTAGAACAAACAGCTCTGCTGTTACTTTGACCCTGACCTTATATTTCGTTTCCCTTCTCTCTCTACATGCAGCAAATCTGGGATATGCTGGACCTTTGGCATTACAAACTCAATGAACTGGATGCAGAAGTGCACGACATAGTAGAGCAGGATTCCTGCCATGCACAGGAGCTGATGGATATCTTGGTAACCCCCCTTCAGCAGTACCAACAGGTCTCGCAACTTGCCGAGCGCAGAACTGCCGTTTTGAACAAGGTAGATGCAAATGTAACGATTTAAAGATAACCACATCTTATGAAAAAAAACCCAACAGAATAAAGGCTTTACATAAAACATCATCAAAAGCTCTCAAATTAATAGAGAGTCAAAAGCCGACTGTAGGTGCATTGGCTTATTGTAGCTAAGAGTTTCTAGAGTGGCAAACATCACCCCAGCTGCTACCCCAAATGACCGGCTCTGCTCCACGGCTGGTGGGGGTTAGCATGGGGAGTTCATGGCCCTGGATGGGCGATCAGACGGTTCTCTATGACTCTGCTGGGCTATCTATTACAGTAACATTGCCATATAAATCTCAATAGTGCCCCTATGAAGTGTAAGCACATAAGCACCAAAATTACCTTTGATTAGAGGAGATGGCTTGAAATCATGAAACTGTTATGGAAAAATTATGATCTTTGTTTCACCATACTAATTTAACTGACCTTGATGAAAATGCATCCCGTTTTCTTTTACTCTTGTCCATAGATGTGTTTGTCCTGTACAGAGAATAGGAATGCATTTGGGTCTTTTTGTAAAATCCTGTCATTTTCTAGGCTGCCAACAAGATGGAAGAATATGAGGAACTCTTAAAGGATGTGAAAGTTTGGATAGAAAGCACCAAGTGCTTGCTAAGAGCAGATGCTCAACATGACTCTGCGAAAAGCTTACGCAAACATACTGATGACCTTCACGTAAGTGGTAATGCAGATATGTGGGCTTGTCAGGACTGGTTGCTGCGTACAGACACAATGTTGCATTCTTAAGACTTACTAACATAAAGAATTTATCATTTTCGGTAAATCCTTTTAGTCAAAAAATAGTTATAGTTGACAGTCATGAAGTATAGACGGCTACTTTTTGGTGCTGGAAATATCTGTCAGCAGTGCTGAACTGTACTACATCTATCTTCCCAAAATGTCTCATTGTCTTCTGTTACCCTACTGTGTGGCTAGAATCAGTTTTTAGTGCCTAAATATAAATGGTTCTTTCTGTATTGGAGTCAGCCTGACCATGGCACAGGAGCTGGAGAGGAATCATTTCCAGGATCTCATAGTTTTCTTTTTTTGGGGTGGGATCTCTCTCTGAGTTTGAAATCTTCCTCTTCATGCCTTTTGTCATGCTCATGGAGACTTAATTTATCTGTTTCCCTTAAAATCATGGCATCAGTCTCTCAGTTTTCTGCCTGCAGGATGAAGCAGTTCAGTTCCCTTATGAGTGAAGTATTTTAGTCTAAAATAAGCTTTTGGGAATATATGCAATGGTCAATGATATAGGAAATAAAAGCTGTTTCCTTCTGGTCCTAACCTCTGTGAAACGTTGAGGTTCACCATTGATGGATCAAACTAAGCTCCTATTTTGTCTGCAGATGGCCTTGGAAGACTCAGAGCAAAAGCAAAATCTCCTGCACAATGTTTACTTGGAGCTGGAGGAGCTAACACCAGTCTTTGAGACAGACAGTGTGATGCAACAGCTAAATGAAATAGATGATCAAGTAGCAACTTTACAGCAAGAGACAGCTGAGATTCTTCCACAGATCCAGCATGTGGCTGATGTAAGTCTGGGTGATCTGGAAGTGCCTTTTATCAGATTCATCATATGTTACGAAACACAGCTTGTATTGCCCGTGTAGAAAAAAGGTGTGCTGGTTTTAGTAGGTGTGCCAAGTGAGTAAATTAACTGTTTGGGAACAAACCATCAGAAGGTGTTTGGTATCTAATTAAGCTACTGGTAATTTGTACTGTGACTTTTCAGCGGTATTTCAATTCTACATTCAGGGTTTAAAACAGACCGCATAACCTCCAGAAGTTCTGATGATACATCATTTGTAATAACTAACCTTTCGATTGGCAGCATCCATTAACATGGCCTGCATGTGCTGCACTTGTTTTTCAGTATTTCTCTTCAAATTTAAATGAAAGGCATAAATGCAAGCTGGCTTTGGTTTTTGGAGGAAGTTTCTAAACTGTACTATCTACAAATACTCTCTTTGTTCCCAAACCCAGGAATTGGATGCCATTGAATCTCATGTGAAAGCATTTGAGAAGGATATTGCCGAAATGAAGACAATCCTGTCATCAGATGATCTGTTAGAATTTTCTCCTAAAGACCAACTTAAACATGGACAGGTCTGTGAAGAGTCCCATATGTTTCCCCTTTGTATTTATGCATGAATCAGCATAAATACGTTTTCACAATGCTAAGGCTGTTCTGTGACTGCATAGTATCATGAACAAGTTTTTAGTGTATGACTTCAAAAAGCTAGTATTACACAAATTCTAACTCTCAGGTCAGAGATTGAAAGTATTATTTCATCAAACAGTAAGTAATCTGAAAGTCTGCAAATCAGGCCCTGTTTTTCCAAAAATGGAAGCAAAATTTAGTACACATTTCTGGAAATGTAAGCTGAGGACACTTCATCATGCACTTTGGCCAGCTGGTTCTCCTTCCTCTGCTTGAGTGAAGTAAAACAAAGCATTATAGCACATGCAGTCCACATTGTTAGCTGACTGAAAGACAAAAAGCATGGGTTCAGTTTCAGGAGAGAGATAAAAATGTCATCAAAACTCTCATAACTTTGTTTTCTAGAGCACGATTTTGTAATGGCTACATTATATGGAAAAACTAAAGCAATAATTCTTCTGGAAAACAATGTATGTGTACTTCCTTTTTTTAAAAAATTGAAGCCTGGATAGTGTGCTAATAACAAACAACTTCCAGTGCAGGGTACTTATGAATGAGAGAATAAGCATCTCTACTCCAATTGGGGCCTTTTAAAATGAAATCTCCTTGAGAGGGAATTTAACAAAAATATTACTAACGAAAAGGCCCCGAGGTGGTTTATATTCTCTTTTTTCTTCTGACGTTCCCAGCTACATGAGGTCTCAGTAGGATTTCATTGGAGATTCTTTAGGAGATTCATAGGATTTCTGTAGGAGAACCAAGAACTTGTGAGTTGGCATTGTCGTTCTGTCTTTCCTAAGTCGATCACTGACTCCTCCATGAAACGCGTGTTGTGATACGAAACTGCACGTTTCCGTTCGGCCAAAGCTGATAAAGGTGATTGTCAACTGTGCACCCACCTGGGGTGTTGTGCTATCAAAAAAGAAAAAACAGTTGGCTGAGGTGACGTAGAAGGGTTTGCAGCAGTTTTTTGAGTATTTTCACTGCCAAAGATGCAGTACTTTGAAATGACACACTTAGTAAAATAGTAACTGATCTGAATGTGACCCTTTTTTGCCACCGTGTATAATGTATGTGTGTATGTATATGGAGAAAAAGAATTGTAAATGTAAATTATATCTTCCTCTTGCTTTAGACAACCTCACCATGGATTTTTACTTGTTTGTTCCAAGATTAAAATATTCTTCCTTCTTAAACGGGAAACTCACAGAAGAGAACTTTTGCACATCTTGATAGTAGTATAAATTTTCAGTGCTCATTTTTCCAGCTCAGTGTCACATCCATCATCTATCCTGTATCCTAACAGGTTGTACTTGACCACGTTGGCCCCATGCAGAAGACCATTGTTCATATACTGTCCTACAAAGAAGCACTTCAGCTACCAGGGGTGAAAACGCAACCTTTCTCAATCTTCCAAAGAGCAAGAAAACTCTTGAGAGAATTGAAGAAATTAGAAAAAATTACTCAGGAACAAAATGACTTACTGGAGGTAATTGGTTTCTTTTTTTCTACTGTCACCTAAGCCACCTTAATTTTATGATAATTTTGATGGGTAGACAACATTTTTTCACAGCCATACAGTGTACCTACTGTGTCCTTTATGTAATGGTTTGGGGATATTTTTCTTTGTTCTGTGTTTTTTTTCCTGTGTCATTTGATAGTACAACAAGGCACACTGGGTAGTCTTGAAATTCATTTCAGTTTTCCAATTCACTCACAGCTGACACCATGTGTTTTAGCATATTGTTGAAGAAATTAAGGCACAGGTGCCTAATAAGCAAGGTTTGCACAACTGGTGGCTGAATACCAGTGTTATACGCAGTGCTCAAGTCCTTAAACTTACCTTGAACATGGAAAAGAAAACCTCAAACACACTACATGACTAATGCATGCTTGGAGCTTGGTGAAACGCAGTGACTGTGTGAGATCCGGATGACTTTTGTTTTTAGGCCGTACAATTTCTTATGTCTGAAAAACGGATGTAGTAAAATGTACCCTTTTCAGAGAGTTACCAGATGAAACACTCGAGAATTTTCAAAACCCTTTAAAGCCATCAGGAACAGGGTGCATTGCAATTACAGAGTGTTACTGTAAGACTTCTAACTGGTTTATGTGGAGCATTAGGTCAAGGTTTAGATTTTTCTCCTTTTTGAAACAGCTGTAACCTTTTTTGCTTAGCATTTGCCTTTATGTTATAGGCATCCAGCAAACTGTAGCTGAGTGAAATTTCTTTGTGAGAAAACAGATTGGAAAAATTGCAATTCTTGGCAGCTAGGATATCAAACTGTGCAAAAAAGATTTTTCAGTCCTATTGAATGGGTTAACAGCAGCGGTGCTACAATACAAGTGTAGCACCAGCTAAGACGTAACAAAGGATAAAGCTAGTAAATGATGGCATTTTGAGTGCTGCATTAGAAAGGTAGTAAGCATCCTGATAGAGAGGAAAGCAAATGGGAGGCAAGCTTCCTGTACAAATATATACATCGTTATGTTTTTCCTGAGGATTAGTTTTGAAATGTGAGTGTTTGGATGTGTTTGCCCGTATTTGGCTATCTGTGATGCAGGAGGATGTTGCATAATTTGTATAACTAAGTTGCAGTGTAACACCTGAGAAAGTCTAACAGAAACAGAACCTGTAATAGGTAATGTAAATGCTCTGGGGCAGGATTTAGGTGACCTAGAGATGTGTGCAATGTTGCTCTCTGTTTTTCATTGTGGCCTGTCAAGTACCACACCTATCACTCCCTAAATAATGTCATCGGGAAGAAGAGCTGGAAGCCACAGCTGCTTCTACCGGTTTTCTGTGCAACAGAGTGGCAGTATTTGCATATTTGATGATTTACTGTGCTCGTTTTCAGCAAGCCCTTCCATAACAAATACAATGCCTGCTTGCATTGCCTACAGGCAGAGCGAGGCTTTTCCATGGGTAGGTCTTCTAGTATGACCACAATATGAAAAGTAAAGAGCAAATGTTTAGCAGGAAATAACTCAAAAGAGAGGCAACACTTCTAGGAAGAGATTCAGTCCCATGTACAATAGAACATAATTAATGTTCTATTAGGAAAAGGATAAAATAAGATTTTTTTTTTGCCCCTCAGCGGAAGGCAGGGAGCAGATGAATTAATTCTCTTCAGACAAGTGGCTGTATTCACATATTGGCCTGTAACACAAGACATCAGAGTGTATACAGAATATTCATATTCTCTAGGCAGTGAAGGAAATTTGAGGTAGTACATATTTTATCTATTACTAAACAGTCTTGTTCATGTGGTAAGAGAATCTCTTTTCCAGAAGGACTTCTAGTTTCTCATTAAAACTGAACAGGAGAAGACCTACTCCTTTTTTTTCTCCTCTAATTCTTTAGCTATGGCATTAAGATTATAGGCCACAATTAAATATCTTCCTCTCCAGTGGCTTTTTAAGTGGGGAAAACAATTTTTTCTTCCCTTTAAATCCTCTAAGTAAAAAAATAAAAGTCACGTAGAACCTTATTGGTTTGCATTTTGTCAGGAGGGAGTGCTATTGTGAGGAAACGGAGAGACTTTTCTCTGAAAGGCAGAGTCTGTGCATGCTTTGCAGAGAGATTTTTTTGACTTGTCGGGCTGTTCAGGTGCTGCTATCAGCAAAGTTCAAGCCAGTTGACAATAGGCTGTGTTTTCTTTGGTACCTCTTGCAGACACCTGAGGAACAGTCATTAGTTATTCTTTGGTTCTCAGCCCATGGGTCGGAAAACACAGAACCACCAAATGTTCTGTGAACTAAATGTTTTCACAAAATATTCCGGTTTGTAGATGTAAGAATTTCTTAGTCACCTGAGACATCATGACACACTATAGCTGAAAAACATGAGCATATGTGTGGGGAGATTGATGATTTCTGCAGGAACAGGGGATTGATGGGATTTTGCTGTCATGGTCAAATGAGTAAAAGTGAATTTGGCAGGTTATAACATATAATATGTTTTCCTCTAAGTCATGTAAGAAGAGGAAGCCCACATGAAGTGGAAATACTTCTCACTTTTATAGGAAATATTCAAATTGTCAGATACTGCGGTTGGCTTGCCCTCTGAGCTGCAGTGTCTGCCTGGTGTTCAGCACAGTTTACTTTTGGTCAGTGCAGAACTACAGTAAAGTAGTAACAGTAAAGACCTGAGCACCAATAAAAACCAGGTAGGCTTTCTAACTTGATATGAAACCCCGTAATTTCTCTTTTTTTCCAGTCCTGTTCTAAATGGTAATGAATGTGATTAAATATGCTCCATTTGCATTTTATAGCCAAATTCATAGCTCTGCACTGAAGTAAGCAAAGGTGTGCTCCTAGGCAGAATACATCACCATACTTTGACTTGTGGATGAAGCAGTTTGTTTGTCTTTAGCAGCTGAATAGTAAACGTTGTAAGGATAGGGCTGTGCAAAGTTAACAGAACAGAGTTTCCTCTACATGTGACTACAGATACAAAGGAGGCTCCGGTACTCTTCAATACAAGCTTGTTGCACTACTGACTAGTTTGTTTCTGTGCTATTTAATTCAAAATTATTTATGAGGATTACTATTTCACAGGATTCTGTAAAGAAAACAGAAGAATGTGAGCAAGAAATTGAAAAGTTGAAACAGTTCTTGAAGAACCATTTGGTTGAAATATCACATGAAGATCAACCGCCGGCTCAGAAGACTCATTGTCCAGAGGTGGGTTTCGTGGTTTTCTCCCTCATGTCTGTTACTTGTCCTCACTAACACTAATCCTGATGACACAGAGAACTGCGAAATAGCAATGTGCTTCCCTTTCTTGCCACAGTCAAGCAGGCAACTGAATGCCAGTGTGACTACGCATGCATAAGATGACTTACACGAAGAGATATTGCAATCAATATTAGTTTGCAAGTTGGGCATGTCTTTCAAGTGTACTCCTTATTGACTTTGATGTGTCGAAGTGCCTATATCAATTTATGAGAAAAATTTAGAGTGCTGTTTTCATAATGACTGACAACTGTTTTGGTGAAATAATGTGCAGCACTGATAGCTTGCTTGTGTTCAGCATCCTGCTAAAGTTGCTGAGGTGGTAGCTTGGGATAGTGCCATAAGGAGGGAACTGAGTCCATTTCTGATCACTGACTCTGCAATGGTGCTTTCGGTGATTCTGGTTAGGGTTAGATTCTTTATACACCTTTCTTCGTCCTCATTGCCACATTGTGTTTTCATCGACTGATAAACGTGTTGCTTTTCTCCCTGCAGTTGGCTGCTTTCTGTAATGAAGAAATTGATTATTTAATGCAAAAATAAGATGCGTTGTAAGGACAGCACTGCAGAAGTCAGGAAATTGCTAATTAAGTGTAATAGCTTGAGCACTCAAGTGCCTCTGAAATGCTCAGCTTTTTGCAGTCAGTCACAATAATTTATTACACATAAATTGTACTTGCCTAATAACTGTAATCACTCAGTAGGCTCCTGAGTGCGTAGCTGCTCTGCTTTCAGGTGGTGGGATGTTAGAGGCTTGATGCTAGTACTAGTCATTTCCTGGTTCTTGCTTGTTTTTGTCTTTGAGCGTAGGACTTTCTGTTTAAAAGCCCTTGTTTTAGAGGAAAACCTGCTTCACAGTTGTAGCATTTAATGAACAGGAGCAGGCAATGGGATTGCTCATCCTATTGAGGGTCTTCAGATGAAGAAGCGATGTTAATTGATATTTGGTTTCTGAGGAGGTTTTTGGCTAGTTAAGTTTGCAAAGCAGTAGCTGATAAATGTGTGCTGTAAAGTCTCCTCCTGCAATGAAACAAACAGAAGTACTGTTCTTAGTGGACATTTATGAAAACTTGTCAAATTATCATGGATGGCTCTTTCTTCATTCCAAAGCCTTTCTCTTGCCTCTACCTTTGGAAGATTTTACCTTGTGTTTTTGAGTGTACAAAAAGAAAAAACATCCTTGTCTGAGCAGAGTTGCCATCACCTCTGAAAGTTCGCTGGGGTTCCTGCCTCCACCTTCCCTGCCATGCAGCCACACTGGCGTTATTAACTGAAGAAGCTGTAGTCGATAACAGAACCAGCAGTCTTACTGCTTTCATCTGTCACAGATTATTACTTGCATAGTGTTATTCACACCATAATAGAGCATGCTGTGGATTTACTTCAAGTCTAGCATCAAAGCTTACTCTGATGGACTGAGCCCAGTGTGCAACAGGATATTTAGCCACATTTCAGTATTCTGAGCAAGGAGCAATGCTTCAAAGAGCTTTAGCACTTTGAGTAATGAACGGAGTGGGACATTTTATTCCTTGCGCTGTCTTACTCTCTTATTCGTTGTGCTTGCCTTGCTCACCTGGAGACTGGGTGGTGAGGAAAGGCCTCAGCAGAAGGCTCTAAGGGCAGAACAGCAGCTAGAGCAATAGTCATGACCACGGAGGAGACCAATACAGGTTCATTTCCCTCTTTGTAAGTGCAGAGTTACTTGGTTTATTGTTTAATACCTGCAGAACATGAAAAAATTCCTTGTACTTTGTTGGGAACACATTCAAAGACATGTGATAATTTTGTTATTAAAACCCACCAAATGGTTTGTGTTTCCTTCTTTTAGGCCAGCTTCAGTAAAGAAGACTCAGCTCTGAGCTACCCTTATTGCTGTCCTCGCCCTCATCAATTCTATCCTAAGTGTTTTGTGGCAGGTTTCCAGAGAAGGTAGTTGGAAGTACTGACACACAGAGTAATGTAACCCAGCTGCATTCCCTCAGTTCCAAAGGAAATGTGTATTCCCCTTGGCTATGCAGGACCTAGGCGTAATTAGTTATCCAGCTTTTCACATTTCCTTCCAGACTACCAACTCCTGTATTACAGGCAGCAAGTGCTGTCCTGAGCTGAGTCTGTTGCTGCTGGTTTGCTTGTATCTGGACACCTTCAGTGACAATGGGGAACTGTCCCAATGCCCTGAAAAAGGAAAAAGAGCAAATAGGCCCAGTCTCAGTAAGATGCGTCACTGGTATCATCTGTTACGTTACTGTTTGGCTAAGTGAGAAACACGGATGCTTACAGATGTTGTTGCTTCTTAGGGAGAAATGGAAGCTGTAAAAGAAGAAATCATTAAGCTGTGCCAAAGAAAGGAAGACATCCTCACCAGGATGAAGAATTCAATGTCTGATCTTCACCAGTGCTTACAGCAAGAAGTGGCTGAATCAGAAGATGAACCCACAGCCTCTCTCAAGGCACAAAGTGACTTGATTTGGACTGATGTTTCTGGTCACCAGGTAAGTAGAGCACCACGTTGCGATCACTTACTGGGAGCCGAAGAGGAAAGGTAAATGACTGCTCTTCCTCCAGGAGGAGTGGCACGTGAGAGAGGAGCACCCCTACAGCTGTGAATCAATACAACTTCTCCTCCCCATGCTTCCGAATGGTCCCGGAAGAACTGAGTATGATGTGTGCCTAGGAGAAAGGGGGAGAGAGGTGTGCCTATGGTTGCTTTTCAGCATGAGCAGATCCAGCATGAAGTTTCCATCAAGCAGTCAGCAGCAAAATCCTCGATGTGTAGTTCTGGGATTTTCAGTACATTGTTTTCATGGAACAAAATGGAACTTGTCCTCGTTATAGCTGTGATGTTGAAACATGACAGCACAGAGAAAAGTCCCAATTTTCAGAAACGCTCAGTACCTGCAGCTTCCAATTACTTCCATGTAGGGTGGCAGATGTTCAGTGCTGCTCCAAAAGTGGACCCCAAGTGGTAACTTTCTTTTGGTTCACAGCCAGAAGAGAAGAGACTTTTACTGTTCTTGTCATGCATAATTAGACTGTCTCTTTATGTGTATTTTTGTAGCTGAAAAAAAGAGGAATGATGTCTCTTCTGCCTTCCTTAGATGAAGAATCAGAAGACTGTTCTTTCCACAGCAAAGTGAGTTCAGTAGATATCTTATATATACAGCTGTGTATGTAAGATACAAGATTTTGGTGCAGGACAAATTATGAAAAACGTGTAAATTCAAAATACTTCAGAACAAATTGAATTATCTGTTATCACTCCAAGGTACTAAGAAATTGCGCTCGAGCCAGCCTACCAATATTACAGTACCAGCATTACACAGCACCTCATTCTGTGATGTGTGATCCTGCTTTTGATGGGATTGCTTATACAGCAATACTACTGTTATGGAGCTGTTAGTGGCAAAATATGGGCCTAAATACCAATGTTTATATGTGGGGGGGAACCGGTTCAGGCAGAATTGGACAACTTCTGAAGTGCTAAAACTTAAAAGAAACAAGCAAAATGCTTTGTATTTTTGAGCTTAAGAAAAAAGTGCATGATCAGACTATTGGGAATGAAGTTAAGATAGGAAACATTTCTGGGAGAATGGGAGAAACTGGGAGACACTGCTCAACAGTTTGCTCTGAATCTGGGGAGTCTGAATGCCCAGGTGAACTGCAGAGGAACAGTTAGTAGCTTTCAAAAAGCTATTATTTTATATATATATAAAAATATATAAATATATAAATACACACACACACACACACACATATATATATATAAAATTTACTTTTTAAAAGTTAATAGCTTTTGGAAAATGAAGAAATAATCTGTGAAATTTTCTGCACGCTTTCCTGCACACTAGGGACTACACAAGATGCATTTGAATGAAATCAGGAATGTGCAGAAGTGCTGGTGAGCTTGTGGCCTAGCTACATGCCTGCAGAGCAGTTCACAGACTAGCCAGGCTGGTAGTGACCAGCTGCTGTCATCTGCATCTGCATCGTGGGAGGGACTGTGGCCTCAACCAAGTTTTGAAGGGTCTTCATTTCCCTGATGTTCCTCACCATGAACATTAATTAGCCATTTTGCTATATCCTTGCAACAGGAATCAAAATGAAATGTGCTAAAGAGGTATTGGAGTGTTGCTTTAGGCTAGGAAAGGATGAAACTCAATGGTTAGATAGTGCAAAGAAGTCCAAACGGCTTGGATAGAGATGGTTTCTTACCTTGCCCATCCACACACTTCAGTTTCAGGGTTTCTGATTCTGCACCTTCATTGGTGTAGTTTTCTTTACATATAGGTCTTGGAATTTTTTGTTTTGTTTTACGTCTCTTTTTAGGGGACAGGACAGGAGAAAGATTGGTTTGGGTTGTTTTTTAAATAGTGTGAAAAAAATGAGGATACTCAGGTCTCTAGGGAAAACTCTGTCATCCAGCTGCTATTAATCTTACTGCAGGTCTGTAGAGTGAAAAAAGGTGGGATTTGGGAAACAAAATAAAGAGACATAAACAAGGCAGAAATAGAGCAAGGTGTTACTCAAGGTCTGCAGTTATTTACATTGCCTGAAGGAATATCTGAGCCTCCTGTTCACAAGCTAACGCTGAGCTGTTGCTGCTTTCAAAGGGAAGTACAGCCACAGAGACAGATGCAAGCTTTTGGCCTCCAGAAAGAGATGATGAAAGGCACAAGGAAGACAGTGCAACCTCCTGGTCTTCTGGTACCTTGTCCAATGGCATCATTCAGGTAATGCACTCAGGTCTAACTCTACATAGTAGGAACTTTTCTATAACTTTTCCACATGTGCATATATTTTTCACAAACATAACTCCAAGGTACTGCTGAAGTCTGCAAAGTAAGAGAGCTGTAGAAATGCAGGACAAGATGGCCTTATTCAGGTTCTCTGTCTTCCATTTCACACTAAATCTCACCATTTAAAATTTCCTTTCCTGTTGCACATACTAATTTCTTCTAGCCTGACAAAAACCCTAAAGACAGAAATGCACACTTGTTAGCAGCAATTCATTTCACTAATTCTTGGAAAGGCCGTAAAATGCGCATTTTGTTGTGGCATGATTTGTGGAAGATGTTCCCTTTGTACATGAGAAGATCAGCATCTAATACACCAAATCACCTACAGTTTTTATGACATTCTGCTCTGTTCTTTAGGTGTCTTGATAATGTTGGGATGGGTGCCTTTTTTTCTTTCTGTATATCCATATTGCAGGCATAAAACAACTCTGTGTGAATACTCTTGGTCCAGAACCACCGTAGGTCGAGTGGTTGCTGCCCTTTGAGGCTTCTCTAGCACAACAAGGCAATAATGATACAAATATTTCCACTGTTGCCTCTCTACAGGATGCTGATGAGATAACAGAATCACACAGTAAACACGGTGAGGAAACGTCTGTGCAAACTTTGCAGAGCACTGCAGGCCCTGGCACAGGTGATGGCAGTCAGGCTATGGTGAGTTTGAAGGCCTGAAGAAGGCTGAACAAGGTGACCCTCTGAGCTCCTTGTATAACCTCTCTAGGGGCAGGGGCTCTGTTTGGTTATGGTAATGCTACTGGAGTTTGTTGCAGTATTTATGATATGGTAGGATACCTACAACCCTTTGTGGGCCTCTTCATATTGCTGCTTTGGGTGAAAATAAATACATTTTGATGCATTAAGGCACATGGAGGACAGGGAGGTGGTTTGAGACAGACAGCATGGCTTCACCAAGGGCAAGTCTTGCCTGACCAACCTGGTGGCCTTCTATGGTGGAGTGACTACATCAGTGGACAACGGAAGAGCTATAGATGTCATCCATCTGGACCTTGACATAGTCCTTCACAACATCCTTCTCTCTAAATTGAAGAGATAAGGATTTGTTGGATGGACTGTTCAATGGATGAGGAATTGGTTGGACGGTTGCATCCCGAGAGTAGTGGTCAACGGCTCAATGTCCAGATGGAGATCAGTGATGAGTGGTGTCCCTCAGGGGTCCATACTGGGTCCAGTGCTGTTTAATATCTTCATCAATGACATAGGCAGTGGGATTGAGTGCACCCCTAGCGAGTTTGCAGATGACACCATGCTGAGTGGTGCGGTTGACACACCTAAGGGATGGGATGCCATCCAGAGGGACCTGGACAAGCTCAAGAAGTGGGCCTGTGTGAACCTCAGGAGGTTCAACAAGGTCAAGTGCAAGGTCCTGCACCCCAGTCAAGACAACCCCCAGTATTAATACAGGCTGGGGGATGAAAGGGTTAAGAGCAGCCCTGTGGAGAAGGACCTGGGGGAACTGGTAGATGAAAAGCTGGACATGAGCCACCAATGTGTGCTCACAGCTCAGAAGGCTGATCACATTGTGGGCTGCATCAAAAGCAGTATGACCAGTGGGTCAAGGGAGGTGATTCTCCCCACCTATTCCACTCTAGTGAGACCCCACCTGGAGTACTGCGTCCAGCTCTGGAGCCCTCAGTACAGAAAAGACATGGACCTGTTGCAGCAGCTCCAGAGGAGGACCACAGAAATGATCAGAGGGATGGAACACCTCTCCTACGAGGAAAAACTGAGGGAGTTGGGGTTGTTCAGCCTGGAGAAGGCTCTGGGGAGACCTTTCCGTGATTTTTCAAAACTTAAAGGGGGCTTATAAGAAAGATGAGGACAGACTTTTTAGTAGGTCCTGTTGTGATAGGACAAGGGATAACAGTTTTAAACTACAAGAGGATAGATTTTAGATTTTATGATGAGGGACTGAAATACTGGAACAGGTTGCCCAGAGAGGTGGTAGATGTCCCATCCCTGGAAACATTCAAGGTCAGGTTGGACAGGGCTGGGGGCAACCTGATCTAGTTAAAGATGGCCCTGTTCATTGCAGGGGGGTTGGCCTAGATGGCCTTTAAAGGTCCCTTCCAACCCAAAACATTCTGCAATTTTGTTTTCAGTTGAGCTATGGTCACTGTCCACTCCATGGCACTTTCGTGGTCTCAGTCTTGCAACACGAATGCATGATGTTTGTATGAACACATGCACAGATGATACTGATTTATTTTATTAAACTAATTTGACTATATATCTGAGTTTCTGTTTCTGTAGAGGAAGGGGATAAAGTTTAGTGCAGTAACAGAGTCGAGCTGGGGAGGGGCAGAGCATGCCGGAAGTGTAAAATAAATCCTTCTGTACACACACATGTGTGACTAAAGGGTGTCATGTGCAGTATTATACATGTGTAATGTTCTGTTATTTCAGTAAATTAACTAAAACAAAGAGGCTTAGAACTAGAGCTGGAAATTTCAGATGGAGATTGAAGCAAATTGGTCGTTTTTTCTTTCTTCAGCCACATATACCTCAATAGACATAGACTGCTCTAGGATTTGTATATTCAGATTTACTTTCTGTTTAATGGCACTGTCCCATACTATCTCAGAGGCAAACAAGATCACTAATGATTAAAGTAAGACATTGATGGCTGAAACAATGCACTTTTGCTCACTGATTTTCTGTCAAATCTCACTTTAACACAGAGTTTGTGCACTGCCACAACCACCTCCATTGCCTGCATTTATGCTCTAGAACCATGGGAGCATACAGGTCGTTTTGTTCTTGTGGTATTGTGCTTGATTTACTTACTAAGTACCAGTATTTGCATATGTGGAGATACATACAGACTTGTACAGCCTTCCAAGCAACTGCTGATATCTCTAAGCACTTTAGACCTCTTATTATGGAAGTGTGCAATATTGCTTCTTCAAGGAGAGCAAATAAGAACAAAGAATTACACAAGACAGACTTAAAAATACAGGGTTTTTTCTGTGTGACTTAGAGCCCGAGTAAAGCTCGTTTGACTGTTGGAACCAAACATGCAAGTAGCTTATAAGCCTATCCCAACAGCTTGCTTTGCAGCTTTTAAGTGCATTGCTTTTGCATCTAACTCCCACAGAAAAACATCTCTCCTCAGGGGAGAACTGGTTAATGGTGAGTCATCCCACTTCCGGTGTGCTCAGGTATACCTGTGCAATGCAAATCGCTGCCTGGAAACCTGTTACACCAGGTCCCGGATCGCCTGGCTGCTGAGTTTCCCTTTCCTTTTCTTTATTTGTTTATTATTTTTTTTCCTTTTTAATCTGGGAACACAGTGGCAGGGTGGTTCTGGAGCTCTGTGAGTGCGCGAAAGTTAAACATTTCCCATTGGTAAGGGGGAGGGAAAAGAAAGAAAAAACCAGATAGATAACCGCGTTTCTTTCATGTCCTTTGCTTCAGGGTGACAAGCTGCCTCCTGTCCCCATCGCCACCCCGGGCTCTCGAGGGAAAGCGGGAGATTCGGAGAAAACCGTGGATGGCGGTAGGCCTGAGCCAGAAACAATCCTCCAGGCGTGCCAGGCCCAGGTTGCCGAGCTGGAGCAATGGCTAGACAAGGCTAAAATGTCCCTGGGGTCAGACACCCAGACCCCCAAAATGCAACAGATGGTGGAACCGCAGCTTGCTGATTGCCAGGTAAGACAGAGTGGTCAGGTTGCTGCTGCCATCCAAACAAGTCGCTCATCCCTGGGGTACGCATCTGCAGAAAGGCTTTGCTCACTGCTTCTCCTCTCCCCGCTTTATCAGCTTCATTACACTGTGCAGAAAACAGGTAACCGCTTGGTTTCAGTTTCAGGTTCAGCTTTCCAAGGACTTAGTTAAAATATCTATTTTTTAGAGTTGAGATCTTTATGCATCTGGGGGATTTAGGTAGAACTCTATTTTTAAAGCTTTGTTTTTCTTTGGATTATTTTCAGAAACACGGCTAAATATGGTTTGAATCCTCTATTAAAAGGCAATTTTTCACTGGTCTCAATCAGGATAAATCAGCTAGAAGAAAAGCAGTATTTTTTTTTTCTTTTGACGTTTTCACTTCCTATTGTTGTCAGAGTGATATAAAAGACTAGTATAAAATAGCGTCCCAGCTGGTAAATTCTTCTTTTCAACTTTTTGCAAAAACCTGCCATCACAGGTAGAAAGACAGGGGCTTTTCCCCTGCCCTCTGTGAGCAGTGACGATATTTGGACCCAATGCCATCCTTCCAGGGCAGCCGCTTGCCTCAGGTGGCAGCAGAAGGAAAGGAGTGGGTGGAACCCATTGACGAAAACCGTGGTGGAGGAAAATAGGACTGGCGTGAAGGGCTGGGATGGGTGGGATCCTGGCATACAGCTTTTTTCTCTGGTGTGCAGAATAAAAGAAAATGTTGCAGGCATGGCACTTTGAAGTTCCCTGTGATGCCAGTCTGGTGTACAAGTTTGCTTCATGACTGAGTCTACCTAAGGCAACAAACTCCACTCGCACCATGAAGTAGCCAATACCGAAATGTCCCCATTTCAAATTACTAGGAGGCATTTCCAGCTGTTGTTGTTGTTGGGTGAGTTGTTGTTTTTTTTTAATGGGAACAGAGTCCATGCCACAGAGTGCCCCTGGGTTTAGGCCGTGATTCAGCCAAGTGCTGGGGTGCTGAACTCTGTGGGAATTAGGATGCTGAATGCACCACAGTAGCTGGCTGTGTCTGGATCCCGTTTGGGTTCATGTCAGCATAGGCTTTGACAGGGCAGTCCCAACCAGTGCAAACCAGCAGGCTTCAGGCAGCTGGAAATGCTGCTGAATTCCTGTCTGGTTTTAATAGTTTGGCTCAAAGTTAAGATGTGAAGGAGGGGAGGTTTTTCTAACTTAGTGAAGATCTACACGCAAAAAAATACACATAGCATGAAGCTCTAGATATGGAAGTATGATGTAAAGCAATTAATGTATTGCAGTTGATAACTTTGCAGCTGAGCCACGGTACCTGTCTCCACACTCACCTTAAAAATGTGAGTTTAAAGTAATGCAGAGATGCGCTTTGGTTCACAGCAGCTTGAATCAAAAAACGGATCCCAACAGCTTACAGTGGCCTGGCTGACACATGGTAACACGACTATGTTTTGATAATTCAGCATCATTCCTCCCAAAGGGTGAAGTGCTCAGTCTGTGCACTGCCTCCTTCTCCGCCTTTGGGGTGTGTTGTCTTCTTGGTTGCAACCAAATGGATTCTATCATTTCTGCTCTCCTCTTTTATTACTCCATATCTGAGTTAAGAAAACTTCCTGCAGAGGCTGTTTGAAACAGTTCTAAGACTAAGTATAAAATTTATTTAATTATTCAGAATAAAAAGAGACTATGTTGGAGAAAATCTAGCAAGTTTGAAGCTATTTCTCTTTTTGCCTGTATGTTTCTATTCTTTTCAGACAAGGGAAGTGTGAGCATTGACTTCAGAATGTTATCAGGAGAGGAGTGTTGTACTTCTAAAAACGAATAAGTGTTTTACTTCTAAAAATGAATAATCGACTGCTGTCCCTTCTAGGTGATGTTATCAGAGATTGAACAAAAGGTCCTTTCTTTACTGGAAGATTGTGGAGATAGTGCAGACTGCCAACAAGAGACAGAGGCTCTTTCCTTGAAGCTGAAGGAAGTGAAGTGCAATTTAGAAAACGTCCAGTTGATGCTTCAAGACAAATACAATGAAGAGCAGGTAAAGTATATCAATGCTATGCAGAGCAGGAGCAAGACAGTCATGACACTTTCATGTGCTGTAGTTGCAGAAGAACAGTTAGACATCACCATGTGAAGCAAGAAAGGGAGAAAAGTCAATCACAAATGTCAGACTTGCTATTAATCTACTTTACAGTGCTGTATAATTATTTGCAGTTTGCAGCAAGTCGTGGATTTTTAATGAGTCTCTGAACAACATCTCTTCTGCTTTAAGTGCTCAGTGACAGAGGTCAAGATTTTGCCAGGAGTACAGGAAAAGGATTCGTTTTGATTTGGGTTTTAAGTGCCTTTAAAATGCCACAATGTTTGTCCACGACAGTGTCACAGCACAGCGGCCTTTAAGCAGTAACTTTCTCTTTGAAGAATGCGTAAATGGCAAGGGCAGTGACTGCCAGCTCTTCTGTGCCACTGCTGCACACTCTTTGCCGAACTTCCCAAGGGGTGAGACAGTAAATCACAGCTTCAGAGCTAATTCCCACTCTGTTGAGCAAGGGCCAGAGAAACCACCTGATGTGTTTGTGTAAAAGCAGCCACAGTCCCTCTGGTGCTGGAGGAGCACAGGCTAAAAGGGAGCTCGCATGGGCCAGCAGAGACTCAGCACTGGTAAAGGCTGCTGTCGAAATCTCTGTGGGCACAGACAGAAAATGCAGGTGGTGTGCACAGATTTATAAGCATAAATTGCACATCCCTATAATTTGGTCATACAGTAAGGATGGAGGGTTAGTATCAACTCATCTGCTAACAGGAAGAGCAAAGCAAGCCTTGTAACTGTCAGGGAGAAAAATGTGAGGAATTTAACAGCAGGTTAGAATGGATCAAACTTTAAGTAAATGGAAGTGGAGAGAAATCTTTGCAAGAGTATCAGCTGTGTTCATGCACTGCTGGTTCTATGTGTTGTAAATCCCAGACTGCTCCGCTTTTCCCATTTCCCCAAACTACAGCTGTGGGTTCTTCTCCACTTGTCAAGTCTGGAAGTCCTCCCACAACAGGTCTCTCTTTACAGATTCACACTTGCCCTATATCATAATGATTCAAATGGCATCACCCATTCCTCCAATCTCTTATCTTCAAAACACTGATGTATTATGAAATCTGAATCTATATATTGACACTGCTTTTGAAGACTAATTTGAACCTAAAGCTTTGTGAACATTTTCCCATGGGCTAACTCACTATGACTTTAAGGTTGTTGTTAATGCAGTTTAAAAATCCTGCCGTGTTCTGTGCTATGTAAACTACTTCTGTTTTTCTAACAAAAATTAGCTTTCGCCCTATTCTTGCTATTAGAAAAGAGTTGGAGAAAATGATCCAGCCTGAGCTGCTAAAATTGCTCACTTTTCACTCGACACTGTCTTAACTAATGGAATTAAACCTCATATTTGAGCAAATCCCCATTTTACCTTGCCTTTTTCTCTGTATAAGGATGGCAGTTGATGACCTTTAAATTTCTATAGCTGTATAATTTGTTTCTGACTGCTAATTTTTTGCTTTTAAAACTTCAGCTCAGGCAGAAATATATTCCATAAAAACAGAAGTTTTCAGAAAATGGTTTGTTTGGTAAACTCATATTTGTAGATAAAGTGCATTTTATTCTGATAGATGTGTTCTTATTTTCTTTGTAAATGAACTCACGTAAAATGTGATTGGAAAAGCACAATCACAGTTTCAGATTAATACAGTGCATATAACTGATTTTGCTGTTTATGTTACTCTCTGTGCACAGGATCTGAAAGTAAAAGGAGCTGAGCAGAAAAGCCTCATTGACTTCATTGAGTCATGCATGGAAAAAATGCAGCCACAGTTTGAGGACAGCGTGACTCAGAAATTAAAATCAAGGTACAAAACAACAAAATCAGAAGCTGTGAGATTCTGCCATTAACAGTCCAGAGAAATGGAATCTCGTTTCTGTGACAGCCTCCTTGACATTGGGCTGATTATGGTGTTTGGAGTCAGTCCTGATACTGGGCAGGACTGACACCTGCATCCGGAGGCAGGTTAGGTATCTCTGTTCACAGCCATTGCTGTACAAACGCATGGTAAAAATGCGTGCACCCAGTCAGGGTTGAAGGCAGCATCTTTGAAAAAGGGGCGTTGGGATCATGCACTTTCCAGCATGGAACTAAGACATACTACAGGACTATGCTCCCCATGTTGTCATTTCAGTGGTGGAGGCTGCCAGCAGATCCCTGGGATGTTTCACAGGAAGGGAAAAGCCCAAAGAAATGTATCAAAGCTTGGATTAAAAATCATCCATGCACTTGATTTCGCTTTGGTTTGGGGATGGGAGCAATAGAAACTAAACTTATACGAGAAGTCCTACAAATCTAATTTTGCTTATTCAGCTTTAGTATTTGCCATTCTAACAGTGTTTTCTCAATACAGCAATGGAGAACCTGACCCAAAGAACAAGCAGGCTGATCCCACCTTAACTCCAAAGGACCAAATGGGTAATAAATGGCAGTATTTACAACAAGAGCTGTCGTCAAAGATGAAGTCTCCACTCTGCCAGCTTGTGGAACCTCAGGTATGTTTAAGTTCAGTAAAACACTCTGCAGGCAGTGGTAAAGATAGCAATTAGTGTATCTTCCTACCTCATCGTATTATTTCTCTTCATCAGATAACTGAAATCTGTGCAAGCACTCTCCAGAGGAAATTGTTACTGCGTACTGGTTTTGTTATTCTTTTCTAATTTTCAATAATGTCTCTAACGTTGCGAGCACATACATGAATTATTGTAGTTAATGGATGTTGGTTAGGTCTGAGTTCTTGCAAGTGAGAACATCTTGGTCTAAACAAATCTCTGGATTAAATTTTGTACTGCATTCACCATTGTATTCTCTCTCTCTCACATACCAAAAGCAGAGTCTGGTCTGCAAGAAGAGCACGCTATGTATTTATTCTGAACAGACTGCAGAACTTTACTGCTTGGACAGAACTATTCTGTTATAAGCAGTTTTGTTCATATTCAATTACTATTATTAGATTCCCTGTTCTCTGAAATTACTGCATTACATGGAAGAATATCAGTCATGTAAAAGGATGAATGTCAGCTCTTTTTCAGGCAAGACTTACACTGCAGCGGGCAGCAGGGCTGCCTTAGCACAAACTACAACTTGTAGCCCTTAAAGCTGGGAATTAGAGCCTCCTTTTTCAGTCCATCTCCCATCAGGACATAGCCTACCCAACGAATTTTTGCCAGTAAAAAGGGAACCCTGCTATCCAGGTGCTTTATATTACTGCCTTGACATTTTCCTTTTAATGCTTTTTGAGAGCAGTGCTATCTAGTTGCCCATAGCCTTGTCTTCATTTGAGCTGTTCACCTAATTGCGATGTTCTTTTTCCAAATGTTAGATTACAACAAAGATGAACGTGCTGCCCCGAGGCACATTTGCTACTGCAGGAACTCCAACTGTGGAAGAACTGAAAACCTACACGGTCCAGCTGGGAGACCTAAGCCAAGAAGCAAATGTGGTGCATGCACAGGTAAAAAGGTCGTGTTCTAGCACTGCAAAAAACACCAGGGATTCTAGGCACAGGACATTGGGCACTGGGAAACATAGCCAATAATCACATTGCAAATGGCATTCACTGTAGTATAGCTCTTGCATCAGGTATGGACTGTGCTGTAGAAATCAGCTTAGGATTTTGAGAGGAAACATTTCAAGTTTCAGCTATGATACTTCTGCTACCTGAATCTAAACATTTGCTAGCATGAGTAAAATTCCTCAAATTGTATAAAGCAATGTGAGTGATTTCAGTAAACCTGCAGTATTTGAGCTGGTAAGACAAATTGTGTGGTGCCCATTCCTGAGATTGGAGACCTGCAAGACCACAGCCACTCCCGGTACACACAGGGTCATTGTCTCAGCTCTGGCCTTGACAACTCTGAATATTACATGCGTATAACTGTCTCATCTAAGTCTGTCCCTCAGTATTTCACTGATTCCATTTTATTATTAGCTGACTGAACCACTAACCATCTATGAGTGAATAAATCTTAGCCATGCCTTGGGTGAAAGTACTGAAAACTTCTGACTTGCCTTTACCCAGGATAATGTGGCAGAGAAGGTCTCTTCCAATTTGGACAGAAAATTGTTTGAGCTGCTTCTGGCAATCAGCCGATGTTTGAATAACACGGAGGAGATGTTGAACACCTCAGTCCTCTCCACTGAAGAGGCAGCTGTGCAGCAGGCTCTTTACGAGGTAACTGTCCTAAAGCATCCAAGGGAGAAGAAACCCCAGTGGATTTCTGTTACAACAGAATGTGTATGGCCTGATACTTCCTTTCTGTTGTACTGGTATTATTCAGGAATTACACCACTGCACTATTTGGTTTTGCACGGATTTGGGCCTATGGCTTTTAGCAACAGTTATCAACTGAGCCCTGCTACCTTTTTACGGGCAAGAGTCCTTGGACAGAGGCCATTTTCATTCATGTTATCTTTCTTTCAACCCTTTAGACTCTTTCTGTCGAGCTGCAAAAGCTTCACACTGATCTGAGTGATAAAAAGGATGATCTTCTGAAGTCTATTAGCTGTGCTGGTGGGAGCACGGATGTGTTCTGTGAGTGCTTTAACAACTTGCAGGCACGGCTGGAACAAACTCAAGCTGCCACTGCTTTCAGGAGCAACTCCATGAAAGCTGGCCTGGATCATAATAGCAATTATCAGGTACTCCACTGCCAAATGCACATCTTGTTTCACAGCATCTGTTAGACTTGTCAGTGTTAATGCATTTGGGTTACAGATGAACAATCTATAATGAGCTTGCTTTTTTTTTTCTTCTTTCTTTTTGTGTTAAACAAATTTGTCTTGGCCTCTCAAGAAGCAAATTAATTTTGCTGTTTACAGCGCTGCTTGCAGCGCTGACTACCTTAGAGGCCTTGATCACAGTAGAAAACTTGCATGCAGAAAGGATGGAAGAAACCTGGGATCCCATGCACTCTGAGCTACTGGCTAGAGCAAGTTTCTCTGTGTAGGGCTTAGGCCAAGGAGGGTTTTGTATATTCGGCTGCTGTGTGCACCTTTTAGCTCTGTGTTGGAGGTTGATTTGTATTCACTGTACCTTTAAATTTTGTGCCACAGTAGCAAAAGCCATAATTTTGCAAATTTGCATTGTTTTGTTCTTTTTTGGAAAAGCAGATAATGAGAAACTTTTCTGCAGATTCTCATGATGGGCTCAATCTACCAGCTATTGCTGGAAAATATTCAGATTAGGTATTCAGGCGGAAATAAGGAAAGAAAAGCCTGGTCTTTGAAATACAGTGTCCAATGTCCAGCAAAACTCCAGTGTGTTCATCCTCTGCAAGTCAGCCTAGCTCTTGACTGCTGAATAATAAAAGAGTTCCTTTGAAGAAGGCTGGGATGTTGTCTCCAAACAGCAGCAGGACTAGTCTGGCGATGTTTACTTATGCAGAATATGTGGAGCTCCATCAGTCACAGTAATGGGCTCATGTTCAGAAGAGAAGCATTTGTTTCTCTGCAAGTTTCACAGATTTTTACAATGATAGGGGATCACTGTGACAGAGTAACCTGCTTTCTTACTCTACAAAGACGACAGAATTTCCCTCTCTAAATTACTGCTTTAAGTCCACCATGCACTTGCTATATTTTGTTTCTTTAGAGAAGAAAGGAGTGCTCTTGCTGTAAGAGGTAACCATTTTGTTTGTGGTATAATTTTGTCTGGTCATTACTGTATTTCTGTATGTGATATACTTCCGCTGTTTGTTTCTTTTGCAGAATGAAACCAGGCTGCTCTATGATCAGTTAACTGAGAAAAAAGCTACTCTGCAGCAATGCTTGAATGCTATACATGGACATGTTTCTGAACAGCTTCAGGTAATTTCATTGGAAGGAAAGGAGAGGAAAAACTCTCAGTATTAGCTAGTATTCCAAGTTTTCAGCAGTCTATTAAGCTTCATATTTTCTAATGTGTGAGTCCTACTTAGGTTTCAAGAATGGAGGAAGGAGAGAGTTCAGTATTTGCCACCCACTTTTTTTTTTTACTACACACAGTCCATAATCAGACCTGACTCCAGTCCTTTTAGTAGTTGGAGTGGAGGAACCAGTCTCTCTGCAACCTCTCGGAGCAAATACACCCTACACTACCTATGGCAGGGAAGAAAAGGAGCTACACAAAGTACAGCACTTCATGCATTATGTCTTTTCATATGAAAACTAGCTTTTCTTTGTGTGGCTAGGACTCTCCAGTGTTTGTATCTACTCACTCAGCATTTATGAGCACTTTATCATATGGCATTTGACCAGTTGAGCTATTTTTTTGACCTTTACATGGATTAGCACAGAATTAAAAATTAATAAAAGGGGTATCCTCACCAGAATGGTCATCGGTCATCTATCTACTTGTTACTGAAGCAAGGAGGGTGTCACAAAATTCTTTAGTTGCAGACTCATTACCTTGTTTACAGGCATAACTTTCTGCCAGGCTGAAATCTATGTTCACAACTGCTGAATCCCCTAGCAGGGGCCTTAGATATATCCTGTCAAATAACAACTCTTGGAGAAGGAATGCCAGAAGTACCTAACTTCCCTTCCTTCAGAGAGAACATGTCTCAATCCATCCCTCACTGAATCTTTTTAAGTCATAAGAAAAAATGGTATTTTGTGAGTCCATGATTCTTTTTAATGGCTGTTCTTGACCTGGTAAACTGAAATTCATGTTGAACGTTGGACTGAAGCACAAGACCTGAATTCCCTTCCTGGCTGTGCTATGTGAACCCAGTAAGCTGTGTCATGAACAGTCTTGTCTGTTTAGTTTATAAGCTTGTTGGATCTCAGGGTCTCTTTGTGAATTTATGCAGTACTAGCACAGCAGAGTGCTGTGATAATACTACTAGTGATAACAGAAAGTTTAATGGAACATAACTCTTCCTAATAGCTTCTTCTGTCCTTAATTCAGAAAACTGATGCCTGTGCTTTGGAGCTGCAAAACTTTGAAAACCAAGTAGCAAAATTGAGAGGCCACGGGGAAAGATTTCAGCTACCTATCACCTTAATCCAGGAAGTTTATAAATTAGAGGTAAGAGCACAGTACAGTTTCCACTTACTCAGCAAGGTTTGATTCTTTTAAGTAAGGTATTTTTGCACCAAAAGGCTGATGGTTATTTTGCATTCTAGGAGTGTGTATGTGGGTTTCTAGGATTCATTTCCGTCCTTCATGAATCATTAAATTGTGTTTACATTATAGGATGTTTTGGATGACATGTGGGGCATTCTCAAAGCAAAGTATGTGGAGCTGAACTCTCCTTCCATCAGCGAGAGCCAGTATGAGAGCTTACTCCATGGATTTGCAGAGCTGGTAGCTATTGCACGGGAGAAGATTGCACAAGATCCAAAGCAGCTAATGAAAAGCAGAGCAGCTCTACAGTCTCACCTGCAAAATCACAAGGTACAAGCAGCTTATCACAGCACTGCTTAGATCAACACAGCAGGAGCAATATTTTCTGTGACTGGTTTCTCTCCAGTGTTGTATCAGTAGTGAGGTTCCTGAAGTCACTGTCTACCAACTGCAAGTTTAGCCTTTGCTTTCAGCATTCTGTGCCATCATGATCTGGTGGAGGAAAGTTACTCGTAACAGCTCCTTTTCCGAAGGGAGGGTCGTTTAGATCCTCCCCTTGGCAGCCCAGTGTCCCCTGTACCCAGCTGCTAAATGCTTGATGGGACATGGCTGAGAATGCACCTGCATCCTCACGGTCTTGCTGCTTGGCGAGAAGCCCTGGCCAATCCTAGTCACTCAGAGATGTCTCTGTCATGTCAACACCTTGATTGAACTGTTCCACATAGCTCAAACTCCCTTAAGAACTGCTTCAGGATGCCCAGGACTGCAGACTACTACTCCAGACTCATAGGAATGGTATTTGTCACTCACAAATTGCCCTTTGCAAAGCAAAACATTAGGAATTTATTTACAAAGGAAAACAAATAATCTATCTGCAGTCCAAATACACATACAGTGATTTTAAAAAGCAAAAGAAAACTACAAAAACCATTTTCCCTGCCCTGGTTATAAGGATTTATCAGGATGCTTGTGCAGTCTATGCCTGGGGTATGGTCCTTAAGTGAAATTCTGATACTAGTTGTTAGTTCTTAGTGAAGATCTTGGTTGAAGAGTGTGATTGAAAATCCTTAAACCTTTCTGTGGGGGGAAGTGTTCTGTTGAGACTCCGACATTTTCCAAGAGCTCAGCTGAGCCATAACTAAGTCAAACTGTAACCTTATAGTTATCCAAAGCGGTGGTGTGCCCTGCCTAGTACGTAGAACTGCTAATATCCTTGGTGCTGGCAGTCATCTCCCATCCAAGTGAGACAAACTGGATAAAGACTGTCTGGTGATAACTTCTTCTCACTAAACAATTCATTTACTTATTGTTAAGCTCTTCCTTCCATTATCTTCCTGCAACATCTTTGTATTTTATATGAACCGAAGGTATAAATGTAGGTGTTTTTCTTTAGAAATGTATAAATAAAAATAGTGCATGCAAATCATCACTGGTTCCTGACCAACTGTAAAATGATCAGTAATTGCCCCTCTTGGGGTGATGTAGAATTTGGGTAGAAGGCTCTGACTCCAGCTACAAGAGATCCTGAAACTGGCTGCTCTTCTCAGTGAGTCTTCTCTGTCTTCATACTCCTGCTCTTGGGTGTATGATCTCTCCTAAAGAGCAAGCTTTGTTTTTTTCAGGACTTTTTCCACAACCTCATGACCCACATGACTTTCATGCAAGCATTTTCCAAGAAAGTGACTCCCTCCATCCTACAAAAGAGAGAGAAATTCTGGAGAGAGCTGGTCAATGAAGTCAAGTTGCTGGAGCATAAGGCCTGCCAGTATGGTATACACTTGGAGAGCCTGTTAAAGGTAAGGAGTCAAAAGAAACCAAGGGGAAAATCTCAAGGGGAAAAAGGAGAAGATTTGTGTCTAGCGGAACCCTTTCTGCACCAGTGATTCCTTGGCTTGTGATTGCCCTTTCCTGTCTCCATTGGTTAGCAACAGTCTATTATTTGTTCTGTGTGTGTCAGTAATGTAGCTTTTATCTTGGAAAACCTCTTGAAGTGTATATTTCAACTCATTACTATGATGTGGGTGGGACTTTTTGACTTCTTGAAGTGATTTTTGATTGCCTGGACTGATAGGAGAGTCTGTTAAGGCACAAAGGTACTAGCAGCATTTTAAAACAGAACACAAAAATTTATCTTAAAATGCCCCTACAGAACAAAAAAAAATAAGTATACCACTTTAAAATAAGAAACATTGAAGATATTAGATAATGAGTTAATTAATCTGTGGTGAAATCATGTCTCACTTTAATATTTCTGGATTCTTCACCTGTTTACATGTTCTGTTTCATAAAGCAAGAGTTGCTGATGCTAGAATAAGCATTAAGGCCTCAGTTTGATGTAGCAAAAATATCTATGGAAGTGTGCTACGTTAATGTTGCAATGTATATTTTAGGAATGGATGGAATTTGATGATGAATGCCTAATTATCAATAAGGAGTTAGAGGCACTTGCCTCTACATTGCCTTCTGTGAATTTGGTTGAAGAAACAGAAGAAAGATTAATGGAAAGGATTACACTTCTGCAGGTATGTTTGTGTCTATCTCTGACTGGTTTTCTTTGTGGATCTGTAGAGCTGGAAAAAGGATTTGTTAGGGTATGAGAAGACAGTTTGCAGGGCCCTGTTTCTTTTGTGTCCTTGTCTGTACATGGATGCAGGGTAAAAACCCACTTTTAAAAGTAGCAGGAGATCAGACTGCTAATTTCAGCCAGGGTCAATAATTTCATTTAAATGGGAGTAATAACTATAGCTACTTTAGAACTTGGTCTTCAAATGCCAATATCTGGGAGAAAGTGCGCGTGCTACATGGATCCCAAGGACAGCAAGGAGCCTGGGGTGAACACAGACCCACTTCTCTGTAATTCAGGAATGATTCTCATGCCATGATGTGAAACCTATGGAAGAGGAGAATCAACCTCTTGCATCCAAATCTTTGAACCCCTGGTTGGAATAGAAGGTTTACAGGTTTACCAGTTCCTTTTAAAATCCAAAATGAGATGTCCTGTTTTCTGTCTGACCAAAGAGAACGAAATTCCTTTTGTATAGAATGGCAAAGACTCCTGGTTTGTTCCCAGCTGCATCTCTGATGACAGAGCTACACCTTTGTTGAGAAACTCAAGTTCAGTTGGTTGTTTTATAAAATTAAGAAGAAACAGTGTCCAATAAACTTAGTGATGTATCCATCCTGAATGCAGAGAGTGCTCTGCATTCCTCACAGTTTTGACCTTTCCTGGTCTTCAGAGGATCCACTCTATTAGAAATCTTTGAATTAACGTGTCTTTGGTCTGTAGTGAGTCCAGTTTAATATTTATGTTGAGAACCTCAAGTTCAGTTGGAAACATTTTGTCTATGTTTTAAACACATTCAAATGTAAGGATATGAAAGCAGCCTCTATGGTTGTTTTATAAAATTAAGAAGAAACAGTGTCCAATAAACTTAGTGATGTATCCATCCTGAATGCAGAGAGTGCTCTGCATTCCTCACAGTTTTGACCTTTCCTGGTCTTCAGAGGATCCACTCTATTAGAAATCTTTGAATTAACGTGTCTTTGGTCTGTAGTGAGTCCAGTTTAATATTTAGATTCAGAGACTATAAAGGCAAAATGGACTACTGTGATTTAATCTAGTTGACTGCATGAAAGAGACCACTGGATGTTCCCAGGAAATTCAGAGCTACAGTAAAGCTTCTGAGATAAATCAGCAGTGGATATTTACCATCACAGCAGTGCTCTGGTGCTTCTGATGCCTGTCACACTGACATGGGAGGCATGCAGTATTTGCATAGCCATTCATTGTGAAGTTGCTCGATTTCCTTTGTCTTTTTTTTTTTTAAATTCTTAACTACCTCTTTGCTCTTAATTCTGTCTTTAAAGACATCAGAATCAAAGCAGTAAGGCTTTAGAAGGTGCTTTTAGGGTGAGTCCCAACACTGGAACTTCATCGTTTCAAGGACAGAGCAGAACAAAATTCTCTGGGTCTTAATTTCTGTCAGAGAAACATCCCTACAAGTCCCTTCTGCCTGGAGAAAAGTGAGACACTTGCACATCACGCAGTTGCTCCATTCTGCCTTCTCCTTGGGACTGATCTACTTCCTGAGGTTGCTTGCTTTTTTTCCCTTTGACCTTCCAGTGAAAAGTAGCAATGGTAAAATGATGCTTTGCTTTTATTCAGCTGTCTAAGCAAACCACACCACTCCTGTGTCTTCACTCTTCACTCTCCATTCCTCCCTGCCACTATTATTCAATAATTATCCCAACTGCTTCCTTCAAAACACTGGTAACATTTTTTTTTTAATAGGATTGAGCCAGAGGGCCCTCTCAGAACAACAGGGCAACAACTTTCAGATCTGATAGGGTGTGTTTGTCCATTACTTGAGGTTTACAGGTGTCAAAAAAGCCCATCAAAGCATAACACAGCCATTCTGATAATGTATGAGATTATATTGAGCTCTATCTTAATGTATCCAGAGGAAACAAACAAAAAACCCCAGCAAACTGTGTCACTTTTGCATGCAATGAAGCATAGATTCCTTCTGTTTGGAAAATAAAATACAGGACAGAGGAAATGTGAGTTTAAGAAGTTAGAACAAATGCTATGTTTTGCTAGCCATGTTTTCAGTTTTAAAAATATTATTGTTTTGCAAACTTCCCATATTCTGATAGCAAATCAAAAGCAGTGTCGATGAAAAGCATGCCAGGCTTTACCAGATGGTGAAAGAAGGGAAGAAATTGCTGACTGCTGTGAACTGTCCAGAAATAAGAAGCCAGATTGGGAAGCTGGAAGAGCAGTGGTTGTCTTTAACCAAAAAAGTTGGCCATGAATTACAGCGACTTCAGACGTTACTCAAACTCTTGGTCAGGTGGGTATAACTCAGAAAGCAATTAGGAAGACCAGCTAGAAATTAGTTTCTGACCTTCTATAGATGTATTTTCTGAAATATGACAGTGAATTAATAAATAACATAGCTCCTTTAACTTAAAAATGAGAAAAAGAATTAAAAAGCAGTGGTGATCAGCAAAGTGGCCCTTTATTACACAGCTGATCTTCTCTCACTGTGTAGACAAGTGGATCGCCTCCTGCTTATTTCTGTAGGAGCAATATTTTGAATGCTGCCATTGCAAAGTCAGTACATCTAGGTGAGATTTACCTGCGTCTACCTGCTGCAGTTTGTATGTTGGCAGTGTTCACAGAAGCTCTGATTGTGCTGCCCTAAGCATTTCAGCCTGCTAGGAATGCAAGCTAGCCTTGATTCCCATGCGAAGGCGTAATGCGCCTGTCTGTGCACGGCCACAATCCACCTTATAACCATTCAGGACCTGGCTGACGTGCTGCTTCAACTTGTGTTTTGAAGTTCTCCACAGGGGGAAGCCCCAAGCATGCTCGGTGCTCTCACATGGCCCAAACCAACTGGCAGTCAGGAGGAGACACCTTGGGGCTCTACAGCCCAGTCTGCTGGTGGATGTACCAAGCTCAGCTCCTCCTGCACCTTGTCTGTGTGCTCTGAGCTCAGGCTGGCTCAACCCATAGTGAGGACAGAGCATGCCGGTATTTGCTGGTATTATATTCTGCACTGTATCTTGCAGTCTGCACAATCTCCTCTGGTGGTTTTGACCTCCAGAAAAGCTCTTTTCACCTATGTGAGCTTGTCTTGGCAACTGGTGGGTGGATACAGAAAGAGGATGTTTTCAGGGATAGCAGAGCAGCTGAAAAGAGCTGACAGGAACAGTCTCGTGTGTACCTCCAGCAGAACTGCTGTGTTGCACATCAATCCATCCTGCATCCCCTAACCTTGCAGGGTTAGGTAGCAAGATAGGTGCTGGAATAGCACATGCCTCTTCACAGAGAGGAATACAACTTGGAGGGTGAGAAATGTATCCTAGACTGAGCTAGGAGATGTACGTTTGTATGTTTTCTTTTCTCCTTGTAGCTACAACAGAGACTCAGAGGAATTAATGAAATGGCTGGATTCTGCTCAGCAGAGAATGAACTTCTGGAAGGAGCAGTCTCTCAATGTGTCACAGGATCTTCCCACCATCAGGGATAACATCAACAGCTTGTCTGTAAGTCATTTCTGCTGCCAGGTTTAGATAAGGCATTGTGACTTTCAGTGAAAATTACCCTTTTGTGTGGTTTCTGTATTTGCCATGATTTAGAAGCTGCCCACATAATATGGCATTGAATGGTTGTGTGCCCCAAAGCCACCCTGTTATCTGTGTGGGAAGCCGTGAGAATGGGAGGCCACCAAAGACCTTCTTCAGATTGCGAGGCGAGCAAGAACACATAAATCATAACAGAATCCTCTTGTAATGAGCCCCCGACTGCAACACATCAGGATCTGTTACGCACCTACAGCATAATAGCACGGTTTCCGTCTTGCTCCTGATGCCAAACACCAGATACAGCAGTTCAGCCAAGCCCTGGGGCCACTTACCAACTGAGTCTGGAGTGTGGGGTGGGAATATTCCTAATCCCTGTGGAGCAAAAGGTAGTATTGAGCGTTGTATTAAGCTGGGCAGAAAAAGACCTAACCTGCTGCCAGAATATGTTGAGTTTAGGTTTTCTGAATTTTACAAACTTGCTAAAATCTGTTTGTTGAGACGGTTCATCCTGTGACTGAAAACCTGGTTTGTCTTCCTTATTTACATAAATATTTACCCTTTCTTAAATTTCTCCTGTGCACCTCAGACATTCTCTAAGGAAGCTGATGAAAAATCTTCCCTGAAGTCATCTGTGGTGAGCACTGCCAACCAGCTCTTTCACGTGAAGCAAGCTGATACTGCAGCACTTAGGTCATCATTGGCAAAGTTTGAGCAAAAATGGGGAGAACTGATTATAGAGCTCCCAGCCATCCAAGAAAAGCTGCACCAGGTGGGAAGAAACTGCTGCCATCTCTTCAGTTCAGGCTAAATAATTACTTTAAAATCCTGCTGCTGAGATTCAGACGGCTGCTGCATAAGGCCTGCAAATCACCTCTTCCTAATTAACTGTCTGTCTTGCTTTCAGAATATCCCCAATATTGCACTGCAGTTTAATTATTACCGTGGGCTTCCTGGGCTGTTTTGCATGTATCTGTCATCTTTATAGTTTCATATGGAAGTCTATTACAATTAGAAAGAATTTTATTTCAAATTTCTGAATTCTCAAACTTTTCTTAAGTCATATGCCCCTCTGGAGCACAGGGCTCACTTTCAAGTTCATACCCTGATAATTGCAATTACAGTGCCTGAGCCTTTCTAAAAACACAGATGTCATCTTCCCTTATCTTTCTAACAAGCAGGGTGTAGAGGATTCATTATGTGCTTTATCCTCAGCTTCAGATGGAAAAACTCTCATCACGGGAAGCTATTGCTGAACTAATGGCCTGGCTGGACCATGTGGAGCAACAGCAGGGACATGAGGAGCCAATAAATTCACAATGTAGCACTGCCCAAGTCAGAAGCCTCCTTCAGAAGTACAAGGTAAATGGGAAGCTCTAAGTCCAAGTCTTCTGCAAGGTGTTTGGCTGTAACAAGGATGGAAGCAGGCTACAGGCACTGTTACATCCATCCCTTTGCTCTCCAGTGGGCTCCTCAAGTGTGCCTTAACATCTTATTTTATAAAAACCTTTTGCTTCCATGCTGCTCAAAACATTGCCTGCCCTGCAATACAACTACTGCCTGCTGTGCAGTAATCTCCTTTTCTTCATGCTGTCCCATCTGTCTCACTTATTTTCTCTCTCTTACATTTAGATTTAAAATGTGTTGAGCAGGAGAGCTTTGCTTCCTTAGGAAGATAGACTCTGTGTTTGCACTGTGTTTTATTCCGCCTTTTCAACAAGATATACCTCGTAATACAGCTCTATAGCCAGGATCCATTTAACCAGAGAACAGGGGGGTTGAATATTATGTTCCATCAAAAGAGAAAACCTGCTATGAAAGGGGGACAAGATGAACATCGCTGCAGAGAGAGAGAGGCCGCAGCAGGTTCTTGGCTCTGTTCAGATGCTAAAGCATCAGTGGCAGCACCAAAGGCTGATCGCCCCATCCACAGGACGGATTCGAGCTATGCTTGTATCTCCATAGATGCCCAACCTCAGGGCATGAATCCCTACAGACCCATATTTTGCTCTGCCCTTGCAGAGCTACCGAGCAGTGCTCTGGGCTCAGACAGGACAACAGTTCTCAGTCTGCAGCCGCAGTTCTCAGACACTTTGGTACTGCACGTAAGGCAAGTGCCAACATACGCATTTCTTTCAAAGTGCCTTAATATAGCAAAGATATAACATTGTGGTCTGTATCAGTTGGTTTTGGAAGTTGGACCGTGTGGGTGAGATGCTGTTTTTAACCTTTTGGATATTTAGAGACCAATTTGAACATGTACCTTCTGCACTTGGCAGTAATGTGGGGACTTTTATGCTGAGAAGAAAGCTCAGATGAGAGCCATGAATTCCTACAGGGAAGCAGCTATGGCTTCAGTACTTCTACTGTTGCTTTCCCTGATGGCTTTTTTCTGGGTACTACTCGATACAAGGAGGAGCCCTTTCCTCTCCTCTTCTTCTAGAACCTTCTGAAATAAAAAAACCCATTCCTTTATGTTGTTCTCACTTTGTGTGTAGCTTCTCACTTGCTGAAGGATGCTTTTTCCTCCCAGATACTCTGGTATTCTATTCTGATACCAGATATTTGGATAAATAAATTTTGGATGAGCTCTTGTCTGCACTTGTCTGTGAATCGCAAGAGTATAGGAAGGCCTCTGTCTTAGCCTGATCTGGGCCCATGGCAGTGGAATGGTATTCTCCAGTGGATAAAGTACTGGATCTGGTACCTCTTGGTTTTATTCCCTGTGCCAGCACTAATGTATTCTTACCTTGAACTACCCACGTAATGATAGCGATTTTCTGCAAAAGTTTCAGTGGATAGAAATAGCTACAGAAATACAGAATGGTAAAAATTGAGAATTATTCCTACAGCCAGGTCCCCTTCAGAACAATATTTCAGGCCATGGTTCAGAATAAACTGTGAATGTCCCATAACCATGCCTTGAAGCATCATTGGAACTTACCAGATTAAAACTGCCAAACTAATATTCTACAATTTTGTTGTTTTGTTTTGGTTTGTTGTGTGTTTTTCCTCCAGGAATATACGATGGAAATGAACTTTAAACAGTGGATGGTAGACTTTGTTAACCAGTCACTCTTGCAGATGAGCACTTGTGACGTGGAAAGCAAGCGGTATGAAAGGACAGAATTTGCCGAGTGTCTTGGAGAGATGAACCTGCGGTGGCACAGGCTGCAGGCGTCTCTGAACAGAAAGGTTTGACTGAGTTCTCATTGCTTTCTCTCCCACAGTTCTGATCTTGCCCGTGCCAGTGCTCTGTGTTTTGAAAGCAGCCTTTCTAACAGAGTCTGGAAATAACGTTGAACGCCATGAGGCTCCCTGTGCTCTCTGCTGTCTGTCCATCTGCTGTCTCACGGGCAGCCTATGGAGTGGTCTTGTAGCACATCAGCTATCGGGTGGTGGGCAAGCATCCAAACTTCAGCAAGGTCTGGAAGGGTAAACTCTCCTGTAACTTGTAGGGAGGGAAAATCTGCTCTTTCTGACAGCCTGGGATTTACCCCAGTTGACTGCGTTAGGTGGAAAAAATAAGATTCCTTGTACAAAGGAAACATAGTCAGTGACATGTCAACAAAGAAGACCCGTATTGATAAAACTGTGAAAAAGGAAGAATTCAAGGTATGCAGAGGAACATGTTAGTGAAATCTGTTGAAGCTTGGAGGTGCTGTGGAAGCTGGGGCATTTAAAACTTAATGGGAGAAAACACTGGATGGTTTGTGGAAAGGGGAAGTGCTACATTGCTTGGCACAAACAGCCAGGCCCTGCTCAGCAAGCACAGCACCAGAGAAGCAAACAACACCTCCACATGCCATATAATGGGAATGAGAAATAGGGATATATTAAGCTACCACCTGTTTTCCTGTTGTAGCAGTTGGATTTACCAAAAAAGTAATTATTAAGTAAGTAGTGTTGACAGCCGTATTCAGATGGGGACATATGACCCTGCTGGAACAGGCACAGCTGGGATCCATTTCAGGTTCTGCTCCAGCCCTCCTGGGTCACTGGAAATGGGTAATTCTATGTCTGCAATAACGAAATAAGCTTTCCCAATGAAGTGCTCTGAGGATCAGCAGCTGATGGGCAAATTCTACATGTAGACTGACTGTGCCAGAACATCATCTGCATTTCTCTGTAGAAAATCTGTTTCAGGCAGTGCCTCAGATTTACTTTACTCTAGTGAGGCTAGAAATAATCTATGCATCCAGAATTAGATACTGGTGCTCGTGTGCCCCACTGCCCAGAAAAGCTAGTGTGACTCATGCGATATGGAAAAGACTAAGGAAAGGTTGGCATCCAAACATGCAAACATGAGGCTGCTGGAATGAGTGCCTCTACCAGCACATTCCTCTTTCATCTTTGTTTCTCTCCCAGATTTACAGGGCTTTGGGAGAAACTGCCCTTCCTGAATCCAGATACAAAGACCACAGATCAAACAGAAAATTCCCAAATTTTTCTAACTCAGAATGCCTTCCAGAAACATTTTAAGCTGCAAAATTCGGTTCTTCCACAACTGAAAATTTCCATGATGAAATTTCAGTTTTGGGGCAGGGGGGAGTTATCTTCACTGACCATTTGCAAGAAACTGCCCTCGAGGATTTAATGGAACCTCCGGGCCAAGACTGAAGATGGGAGACTTGAGGTCCCTTGCTTACTAGTAACTTTGTTGGTTGATTTTAGGGAGAATGAGGTTTTTAGTCTCAATATGAATGTGTCCACATAGCCCAGGGTCCCTCAGCTGTCAGGTCCATAGGTTTCCAGCTCTAGAGCACACACTGCCTTGTTTCCTTCCCAGGGAAAAGGTCAGATCCTAAAGAGCCAGTAAAACTTCTTAGCTTTTCCTTCTGAAATATTTTCTCTAAATGGTATTTTTAATGTAAATATTATAATCTCAGATTTTGTCATGAAAGGAGGAGCCCTGTTTCTACCCACCTCTAGGTTTAAGTAAGTTAAAACAGTTCTGTAATTTTCAGGTACAAGACCTGGAGCACGTTTTAGAGGACATTACTGAAAATGAGAACAAAGCACAGACTCTGCGCAACTGGCTGGAAGCTCAGAGTGATCGACTGAGATCCTTACAAACCCCAGCAAGTCTGATTTCTGCACAGAACACATTAGATGACTGCAAGGTAAAGCGTTACATGTGTGATACTATTGTAAAAACAATAGTTAGCACTTTGCTGAATCCAGACTAAAGTGAACAGTTTTTAACAGAAGTGTAAAGGAAGTTGCCATTTTCTAGAAGAATACTACAATGCAGTTTTAATTAAAACATGGCAGGTTCAGGTGATAGAGAGCCACATCCACTTTTAATGTGAATTGCTATTTTATGGGTTTTTTCCTCCAATTGATGATGCACCTGCTGTTGTTCCATGGTGTTTGGAGTGTTGTGCAGCAATAATGTAGATCTTATTCTGAGATGCTTCTAATAGAAGTAGTTTTCAGTTCAGCAGAGCCATGGCAAAAGCTATCAATTCCATTAGTTTGAAGAGCTCTGTGGTGGTACTGTCATGGAAACTACCCAGTCCCATTGGGAAAAACAGCAACTCTCTCTGCTCCTGCCCCAGAAAGAAGCCTCTGCACCAGCCTCCAGAGCCTCGGTCTCCTTTGGTTCTGCTGTGTTTTTCTAGGCACCAGTTCCCTCAAAACTAGTACAGGTGCAGCCAGCTAATAATTGGCTTCTATTACTCGGACAGTTTGCTGTTTTCGTTCAGTACAGTGTTCCCTCTCTATTTTTTCACATGGAACATTTGTTCTTTCATTGCCATGGTTACATGTGTCTCTCTTGTAGTAGGCTGCTCTTATTGCCTAGAGTGCTGTTACACACCAAGTGACTTGTGTCTCTGAAGCGCTCTGAAATGTGTCAAGGGGCCAGGAAGGAAGACACAGGCTGCCTGTGACTAAAACATTAACCTGCTCACAGCAAGGTACAGTGCTAGGATGCAGGAGGCTAAAATGTTTCATTAAAATTACTTTGGTCAATAAAAAATGAGGTCCAGATTTGAGAATGTTTAGAGGACAGTAAGTGGCAGGGGGCAGTTCATGGCTTTAGGCATAGTAGTATTCTCTAGGTGATCCTGTTCTAGCAAGGGGTTGGCCTGGATGATCTTCAGAGGTCCCTTCCAACCCCAACCATTCTGTGACTACAGGACAATGTCACAGCTCACTGGGTGTATGGATATTTACTCATATTGTGCATAACTCATTGCTGAGCTTTCCCCAGTATGTCAAGACTATCTTACAATCTTTCTGATCGTCTTAGGAGGGAAGTGGTTCTTGCAGGCATCTCCATTGATTTCAGTAGGGTTTCTCCCATGGGAAAAATAATAATAGTCAGTCCTTCTCCTCTGACTAAGAGGACAAGCTGAAAGTAACTTTCTAGAAGTTGTTGGGAGGTTAGGGACCCTCATATTGCAAAATCAGTTCCTATTCAGTCGAACTAAATCCTAAATCAGTCTGCTGGAGCAGAGGAGGACCTAAATGCTAACCTGCCCAAGGAAAACTTGAGCTGCATGAATTGATAACTTTTTACATCTGGAGAGGTACAAAGAGGCCTGCATGGTGGCTCAGGAGTTAGCACCTGATGATTTTCTTCCCAAGCATGACAGCCAGTGCTCATCCTGACAGCAAATGGACTGATTCTAGCCCTACCTGCAGGAGACTGCCCAAAGCAGCCGCTGTCATTCTGAATACCTGTAAACCACTTGTTCTGTATCAGAGCTGAAATGGTGGTGATGTTGCATGGCTGAAGAATTACACAGTATGGTTTTTAAAGAAGGAATGATTATCTAAGCTTCTCACACAGAAGGTTTTTTCTATAGTGTCGTTAAAAGGTCGTCTTTATCTTCCTTTTTTTTTTTTTCATTTAGGAGCTAGAAAATCAACTTGCAACTAAAACCAAAATTCTTGATGAGCTCAAACAGAGTTTGGCTGTGAATGGTAGTGCAGAACAAGCTCCAGAAGCTCTGTCTCTCAGGATAGCGGAGCTGTGTGACATGGTGGACAGCATTGTAAGCCAGGTAAAGGCTTTGTTTACATTCAGGTTTTCTCCAGTATGTACTCTTACCACCAGCATTGTTATTTTTCTCCGTGGGTTGGCAGAAGCTGGTACAAAACAGATGCAAAGTATTCTTTACTCTTAACCCCCCAAAAGAACATCCTTTTAAGGCTGTACCGTAATGTAAATTAATACATTTCCAAGGTTGAGAGAGAAAAAAGAAGTCTGATCTCGGAGTAGTTTGGATACAGGGGGAGGAGGGACGAACCCCCATCTGCAATTTAAGAAAATAAAGGAGTAGCACTATTCTTCTGTCACGTTGAAAACGGAAACCTTAGACTTTCTTGCTTGATCTCCTTCTCTTTCTTACCCTTGTCTGTCTTCCCTATACTGCACTGCTGGAAGCTGCCCACACCTGCCCCATTCTCACCGTAGATCTTCCATGTCCCAATTACTTTCAGTCACACACCTGGATGCCTTTCATTGTCTTCAAATCCTAAGCAGTTTCCAGTTTTTTCACAGAAAGTCTGGTAGGTTGGTTTCCCATGCAAATTGACTCCCCATCTGCATTTATAGCTATATTATCTTTACACTTGGAAAGGATTTTTTTTTCTAGATGTAATTGATGGGTGCAGAACATATCATAATGAGTACATTTATGGAATTAGATTTGTGATAATAACTAACCATATACTGTAGAGGATTATACACGATGCCGTGATTGTTTATGGTTAAGACTCCCTTACACTTTCTATTAAATGCCTTGCTTTTGTCCCTCAATACCGTGTGAAACTTGAATCCTTTTGCTTGGACTCTTCCACATGAGGAGTCGAGCCAGGGTAGGCCTGCTGCTTCTTGCTTTAGGTTTCAATAGAAATGATGTGGCTGTTTCTTACCAAGAAAGCAGAGAAATTTCTGTGTGCGTAAGTGATGAAAGTTTCTCCTTCCGCTGCAGAGCTGGGGATTGAAAATGGCAGGATTGGCAACCTAGTGCTTTTTTCTTCTTACAGTCACTGTGGGTCACGTTAGTTTTAGTATTTTTATGACTTAAGTATCAAACTTACGAACTGCAGGATGTTCTTACAGCCCAGTTGTCTGCACGTGCAATGACATATCAAGTGCAGCTTCCTTCCCATGAGTGACTGCTCTCAGCAGAGCCAAGCTGTGATTTCAGATGCAAGTCTAAGGAGAAGTGATGCCTTGATTGCATTGTCTGTATGTTGATCTCAAGACTGTGAGTCTGTGGCCCAGAGACATTTCACAAGCACAATGTCTTTCCATCTTCCTTGTGTGGGCATTAATTGGCTGCAGGCTACAAAGAGCAATTAGAGATTCCTCCCACCTATACCACGATTCGAGTGAGAATAGGGATGATTAATCCATCTACTCCTCCATGCCTGGAACGTGGATACTGGGATAGAACGATCCACGCAGTCTATTTAGGGTGCACTATGGTGTAAAAAAAGTCTTAATCTTCCATTGTGTGGATGCATAGTCAGAACGGAAATGTGGCATTTGGCATTGCCAGGTCCCATGGAGACATGCGTGTTTGCTTGCCTGGTTTTTCATGCTCTTCTCAAAGCATCTGGTACTGGCGTGACCTGAAAATAAAGACTGAACTAGATGAATGTTTTGTCTAACCCAGGACGTGCCTTATGTACTCACCTGATACAGAAGGATAAAAATGACAAATGCCACTGGAGGAGCACTGTGGTTTTGTGTTTGCAATGTCTTGGAGTATCAGGCAAATTGGAACCATGCTTGCCCCAGTACAGATTAAATGACTACAATAATGAAAGAGACATCGAAAACAAAGAGGACACCCATAATTTAATTTGAGAATCCTAAATTTCCTAGACTGCAATTCAGGTGGGCCTGCATTATTAGAGGATAAGAGGGATGACAGCTCTCCAGAGTATTGTAGGAGCGTCTGCTTCCATACAAAACAATTTCTGTTCAATTTTTCATCAAAAGGAAACTTGATCTCTGGATCAAACTATCTGCTTCCTGTGAAGATTAAGGCTCTCAACTTCCTCCCACTTCAGGTTGATTTTGGCAGGAAGGAATAAGCAGTTCATTATTTCAGTGCTTGTTACTTTTTGGAGGGTTCTGGAGCTGTGGCTGACAGAATAGTGCTACCTTGAACTCTGCTTAAATTTGTATTTCCAGCGAATTCTTATACTTCACTCTCAATACGGTTTGCTGCTTGGTTTGAACCCTGCACAATTCCTTACCAAGTAGGAAAATACTCCAACTTGTGAAATTCTTGTGCATTGTCACGGAGTGAGCATTGAGCTTAGATTTTTTTAAGTCAATTTAAGGGTGATTTACATGTTGGGACTACCCAAGAAACAGTAACAAAAGTGGTTCGTTTTCAGGTTGCACAGTTAAAGACCTCAATGCAGTCAATACTGGAGCAGTGGAGAGCATACGATGAAGTTTATGTGGAAGTCAGCCTGATGACAATGAGGTATTTGTACTGCATAGACCAGTGCAAACCTTCTGTGCTGTCACTGGAAGCTTTGAAAAACCAGGTGAAAACTCTCCAGGTAAATCTACTGAAGTTGTCTTTTTGCTGTACTTCCTTCTGTGCCCTTAAGCAAAAAAACCCAAACTCCATTGGAAAAAACAAACAAACAAAACAATAACAAAAAAACCTCCAACAAAACAAAAACTCAGGACCCAGGATTCCCCTTCCCAAAAGCTGTGGCTTGGGCTGGGAGGGTGCAGCAGCCCTGGTTCAGAGCAGGATCCCCAAACCTGGTGTTTCCAATTGCTCCAGTGCAAAGTCAAGGGTTCAGTTGCCCTCTGGAGAGCTGCTGGAGTTTCCTGTGCAGCCTCTGAATAAGGCTGGGCGTAAGTGCCAGGTGTAAATGCTCTGGGTTGTGCTGCTGCTTGGCTATTACAGAGTCTAAATGGGGCATCTAGAGCAGGCAGGCTGGCCCCAGGTCTGGGTGTTTTACAGGTACAGCTAAAATCCCCTTGCCTGGCTTTAAACAAGTGTTGAAAGGCTGTAAATGCTCCCTGTTTCAGTGCAAGTCTTGTCTTGGTTTATTTTCAAGTGATACTAGAAGTGGTGCGGGCCAGACAGGCTGTGCAGCCCAGGTATGTGTCTCTGGGCAGTAAAGCCTGCATAAGCACTTTCCACCCTCAACTGAGGACACATCATAGATGGAAGGAACTGGGCACCTTCTTATCTCCTTCCTTCTATCACCCTCGTTTATTTTTAATCTGGATCAGTTCCAGATCCATGGCAGGGTTCTGCAATTGCCTGCATCAGGAAGGGGAACACACAGCCGGAGACAGCAGTTGTCAAGCCAACTTTACTGCCAGAAATTTGCCCGAAACAGTGGCTTAAAATAAAATAATTTTTGATTTTTTAGTGAATTAGTTTAATCAGTTCAAGGCTGTGAGTTTGTTAAACAAGCTGTTTCTGTAAGAGCAAATAAATTACCTCAGTTTAAAATAGGCCTCCTGAATTATTTTTTAACTTGGACCATTTCACCTCTCTCTTAGCTTCCTAATTTCTAGGATCTGATGGTACCTTTCTCACATTTTAATCTGTGCTGCAAATGTGTGACATTATGGTTCCCCTATCCCTACCAATCTATAGGGGAAGCTATACTTAGGTCATTAATCTCCACAACTAATTGCAATGATCCATTTTGCAGTCCCTTCAAGATGAATCGGAGAACAGTGAAGAAAGTTGGGCCAAGCTCCAGGCTGCTGCCAGTAAGCTGAAGAAGAGCTGCTCTCCCTCCTCTGCAGAGATTATTGAACAGAAGTGCATGAAGGCACACACCAGGTAAGCTTGCAAAAAAGACCTCCAGTTATTAGTATTTAAAAAAAGAACTTGCTAAGGCAGGACTTGAAAGTCTGTGAGATTTTAGATCTGTACTCATATGACTTGCCTGTTTAAGGGTACCTGTGTGAGGAGTAGCTGATACTGCCTTTTTTGTGATGGACCACAGAGCACAAAATGCTGCTGTGTCAGCGGGCTGTCAGTAACATGGGTATGAAAGCATAGAAACTCCCACAGGAATCCACACCAAATCATGTTCTGGAGGAGAATCTGCTAGGAAAATGCTCTCAACCTTTGATATGTTGGCAGGTGGAACTCAGTAAATGAAGACATCACAGACCAACTGCGGACAGCACAAGTGACCCTGCAGCTTTGGGAGCCCTTCGATGCTTTATGCACAGAGGCAGCAGCCAAGTTACAACAGCACGAAGAGCAGTGCACGCAGCTCTTGGATGCTCACATCCCTGAGCATAACATGATAGAAACCCTGAAGCAGAGAATACAGGACATAAAGGTACATGAATATATTTCTACTGCCTGGTTGAAATCAGGATTTATTTTTCAGAAACAAACCAAAAGAGCACCTTCTCCTCTCCCAAATGCAGTCAGTGGAAAACATAAAATCTGTGTGTTTTTTCCATTAACAGACACCTTTGTATTTCCTTTTAAACACTTTACCAGATCCTGAGATCAAACTAAACTAGAGTTAGCATAGGATGAGAAGAGAGCAGAAGGGAGCATTCATGTTCCATCTCTGTCCCTTTCTGCTCCACACAAAGATTCAGGCTGGTGTTGGAAGGAATCATTACACCAAAAAGTATTTGCTTTATGAGACACTGCTTGGGGAAGAGACATAGCTAGGGAAAAAAGACCAGTTTTCTGTAACAAAGGACCATCTTGAGGTCTTCTACAATATTCCAATCGGGGTTTTTTGGGTTGGGTACTTTTTTTTTGTCCTGGTATGATAAGTTCACAGATTTCTGAGCTCATTAGATTATCCTAAGTGCTTCTGACTTTAGGCAAATGAGATCTCACACTGAGACCACAGGGTACATTTGACTCTCTCAGGCAGCGAAGCTGTCATTAGGTTCTGACATTTTTAGTTTCTTCAGACTGCAATAAAGAAATATAATAATCCTTATTTCAGGACAGAGCAATGATTCATCATGCTTTATGAACCTCTAGCCAGACATTGGAAGGAGTCCATAGTACTGCCGTTTGCATGTGGCCAATTAGGAAACTTTACATTATGGGAAAGAGAACTCATCTGTGTCTTCCTGTGTCAGAAACAACTGACAGCAGCAAAACTTAGACCAAAACATTTTCGCTTTCTTCTGATCCACTAATGGCTGTGACATAAATTCAATGTGTCAGTTCTAAAAGGCAACACATTTTCTGGGAATTTTTGGGAAGAGTTTTGAACCTACTAAGCGAGGCATGACCATCAGAGTGCTCATGGCCTGTCCTGCCAGATCCTGTCCTGCTATATGTGGGTAGGACACACGGAATTTACTGTGGTTTTTTGAAAGTGAAGAGTTAGAAGAATAGGGATGAGTGACATGGCATGAGAGTTACGTGTATTTGAAAATATATGTGCATGACACAACTGTATTTTAATCTCTCCAATCTTTTCCTCTAGTATGTCTTAGGAAAGATTATGGTTTTATGGAACTCTGTTGCCACAATAAAGTCCTATTTAGAGAGTAAGAAATCAAAATGGGTTATTTACTAAGTGCCTGAATTGGAAGTTCACAGCATGATCCAGGAACTAGGAGCCATTTTGCTTTTTAGGGAAACGTGTCTGTTCTTTGCTATCCCTCAGAAATCTTTCATTACTTACAGAAAAGACAATGTACTGTGGCAAATTCCAGGGGGTTTCATGGCTAAAAGTAAATTACAGTTCTAGAAATAGGTATGTTTCAAGATGACATCTTGCTGTTCCTTGCTAAAAAAAAAATCAAATACATTGAACGAGTATAAAATTACTCCCTTTGTTCTTGTACCGCTTTTAGAGTTTGATTCTACAGTATCATTTCTGTAGTAAAGGAGAACAAATAAACCCAAAACCATAGACTTAGATCACTAAGGGATCCAAAGCGCTGGTATGTTTGTAACGTAACAGCATTTCTCATCTGCAGCATGGGCTGGTTTCTCCATCTGTTAGTGTAAATCCATCCTGTACAGAGGCATATTCTGATTTATGTCCCCAGTCTCCCCTGTGGCAGTAGTATCCCACTGCCTGAAGTCACTGGTGTTCCACTGAACTTTGAACTGTGCCTTTCCCAGCACTAGAGTCAATAGATGCAATTCCCATTATCCTCCGAGTAAAAGACCGGAGCTTTCACCATAGCTGAATTTGGCTCCTGGAGGAGGTCAACAAAAAGAGCTTAGTTACAGTAACAAAAGATACCAAATGAAAGTGGCACATGAATGACGATATGACTCATTTGCTGACTTTTTGTTTCTTTCCCATTCTCTCATCAGAATTTACAGCACAGCCTTCAAAACATAACAGGATGCCGTACCCAGATTTCTTTGCTGGCAGATCGGATCAAACAGCAGGCTTGCGCAGCTGCACAAACAGTTCTGCTGGAGAAGCTGCAGCCGCTCCAGAGAGCCTTCTATTTGGAAAAGATGCTGCAGAAGAAGTTAGATGAATTTGAGGTATTTTTTTAATATTAAATTAGATGTCAGTGTGATAGAACTTCTTCACTTGAGCCCTGTGTGAGCTGCCTTCTTCACTAGAAGCCTGTAGTTCTTGAATGGAAATGACATTTCAATAAAACAAAGCTTGACAGTATGATCAACTATGTAAGGAAAGACATGAAGCCAGAGGGACAGATGAAGGAATGGTTTCACCCTTCTTACCTGCTTGTGTTGCTCTTTGTAAGTGGACCTATTACAGTCAAGCAGTATGGGACCCTCAGATAATTACAGGTCAGGAAACTTATTTTTATTCTATGAACTTTGAAGTAAGTTGTAAACTTTCTCAGCTCTGCCCTGGAGAAAACCTAAAGGGTTCAGTTTGCTTTGATAAGAGTGCACACAATCTATCTAAAGACAAGCAGAAAACTCTGGTCATTTGATGTAATTTTGAAGACTAGATCCACATCCCTGCTCAGGCAAGCGGAGGGAAGGATCTGGATCCAGGTTTCCACGTATGATGCTTTGCTTACAGGAGTGCTGTGGGATTGACTTCCCCTCTGCACAGGTATTCCTGAGAAAACTTCCAAGCAAGTGTACTGCTGTACATTTACTGATGTGAAACTAGTCTGTTCCTGTGGAAAAGTCTGCTTTCAATGAATTATTCTGTTCTAAAGTAAACCAAATTCATCAACCAAATTTTTGGCCAGCTTTATTTATGACTCATTCTACCAGCACAATTCAATGGCTGGAAACCAGGTATCCGTGTGAAGAGAACAGATTTCTCACATTCCCTGTGAACTTCTCGCTCCATGAAAAATTTCATTTCTGAGTAGTCGTTTTCTCTGGTGTAACCCTGGAGCATTACCACAGAACTGCTTCTCTCTCCACACCAATTTCTGCCATTCATTCCTTATAAAAATGTTGCTGTTTCCATGTTCTTAGAAATGTGGAGCTTTATTCTTGCAAGGGAGAAAAAGCTTCCCCAGTGCTCTTCTCCCTGACCCAAAGAAACAAAATCAGTGAATATAAAAGTTGAATTACAGCCCATGTTATTTCTCTCTGTGGAGTCCACGTAAGCTGCACAGCCTCAGCTGTAGGCCTGTGGGAGCAGGCCCTGTGTGTAGCTCAAAGGCAGCTTATTTTCACAAGTTTCTTTCCTCTGATAAACTAAGTTTGGCTTTCCAATTTCACAGTAAATCGAACAGCCGAAAGCTACAGAAAGGTATCGCAGATGCCCCTATTCCTTCCAGATAGATATGAATCTTTCAGGATTTAGAGATTCAGTTTCTAGCTCTCTGCTTTGGCTTAAATTTTCCCCTTATCCAGTGCAAAAACTGAAAAAGTTTAGTTAGTATAAATACATTGGAATCTGGATTTTACATCTGTTTGTTCTCCTGATGATACTGCTTATTGCTCCTTTTTATATACTGAGTATGTATATTAAGTAATAATTAACGTAAATATGCAATTTTCACCCTAGTTCAACCTTTTACAACTGGAGGATTTCCAGAACTCCCTTGAAACGCTGGAGGGTCACGTCAAGAATTGTACAGATGCCTTCGATAGCCTCTGTCTAGAGGGAGAAACAGAGAGCTCAGAATTGCTCCTGGTATGTTTGGATTCCCCAGTACAAAAAGACACATACAATTCAAGTGTCCGTAGGATACCAGCTCTTGCCTACTTCAAGAAACTGAAGTAGTTACAGCATTTCCTTCAAAGTAACTACAATCTCATCCAAAACGCAAAAAGCAATGATTTTAAGTTCACAAAAACTCTAGATATGCATTGCAGGCCAAATGCATGCATGGAGGGGAGGGAAATCACATACATTTGGGGTTGATGGGAGACTGTTTTTCCCCAGCTTTGCTCTGGAGCTACCCTGTTGCCCTCAATGTAGGGTACAAAGTCAATCTCCAAGTACCAGCTCTTGAGTATCTGTTCAGTACTGCTGAGAATGGGGCCCTGTGTAAGGGAATTGTGACCTTTTTGTTTCCTATATTCTTTTTAAGTTAATACAGAAATGGAGGGGTTTTTTGGACTAGTATTTTGGATGCATAATGTTCAGGTGCTTCCTACAGAAGAGCTGTCTGTATTTCTTTGAAATGAAAGAAAGGCAGTATTTTTTGCAATTAATTTATTTTTTCTATTATTTCCAGAATCACACACTGGAGCTTGCTGCACTTTCTCCAAGCATAGAGAGTTTAAATGAAGCAAGCATTAAGCTGCCACTCAGTGACTTCACCCTGAAGAAAATGCAGAGCCTGACTCGGCAGTGGAGTCAGAAAACAGCAACTGCTCTGGAACGCTGCAGGTCCGAAATGCAAACAGAAACATCACTACTAACCGTTTCCTTTTCTGTGAGGAAAATCAAAACCAAATTAAAGCATGGGAAGTCTTGCGATCTGTTCTCAGCTTTCTCAGGGGCTTTCCAAGTTGAATTCCTGCCCTTCCAACTTATTCCAGATTATTCAGTGGCTATTTGTATTCCATTCTGGATGTTCATAGGTGAAGAGTAGCAAAGTGCCAAGCAAAACTGTGTTAGTATTACTAACCACCACGTTAGACTGTATGCAAGCATCTCCAGGAAAACAACCACCAACACAACAGTTTCTGATGATTTCTTTTGTTTTACAGTGTGCTTGAGGGAGCTCAAGATGATGAAAAGACATTCTTTCAGAAATGTGAAAACTGGATGAAATTCCTAGAAAAAATGAAAGAGGCCTTAAAAATAAATATTCCAGGACTGTTTGAAGAACTAGAGGAGCAACAGAGAGTATATGAGGTAATGCTGACTCTAAAACTGGAAGCATCTTCTTGAGTGGTGAAGGTAGGGGGAAATCACTAGAAAATGTTATGCTGTTGACAGTAGATCTTTCTTACAGAGGATTTCACTCTTGAAATGTGGCCTTGTACTTATTCGGAGGAAAACTTCGAAATGAGAAAATCCTTTTCCAAAATGAATGGATCCCTCTTTGCAGGAATCAAACCTTTAGGAGTGCATCCTCAGATTGCATTCTCATGAATGAGTCCAGCAAACTTTAGGCTTCAGATTATCTGTAACACAGAGCTCCTGGTGGGTTCTGCTATCACATATGTGCAAATTCTTCCTGGTATCCAGAAAGTCTGGAATCTTTTAGGATCCATTTGACACTAGCACTTGAGAATAATAGAGTTTTCAGCATTTGGAACTAAATGAATGCTGTCACTCCAGAGGACCAGAACCAGCTTTCACAGCCAAGGCTGTTCAGTGAATAATTAAAACTGTTGTACTCATGGTATTTTCAGATGCTGCAAACTGAGATTTCCATAAATCAGCAGACATTTAATTCTATCATAGCAAAAGTTCTACTCTCCTTGGAATCTGGAGAAGCAGAGAAAAGGTAATCTACTTCTTTTTCTCCTTTAAGACCCTGGTAATTCAGTGAATATGTTCTCTTCCTTGGAGTTTATATTGAATCTTTGCTCTCGTGAGGACATGAACTCAAATTCTTGACTGCATTCACATTATTATTTAATAATCCCCTGGCGCATTTTGCAGAAGTATGAGGAAGTGCAATGAAATACTGAAACAAACACAGATGCCCTGGCCAGACTGCATTTTGGATAGTAACGCGATGTTCTGCTTAACAAAAATTGCTCCTGAACAGGAGGCTTCCTTGTCTGCTGCTGCCTTGCAGTTGTTGAAACTGTGACTGTGGTCGAGAAGCCACCTTCCTGCAGAGTGTGATGAGGGTGCTTCATATAAAGGATCCTTTCTCTCTCCCTAGACCTCTCAACTTTTTAAAGCACAGAGGTGTGAGACTATCCATGTTGTCCCTGGCACACGTGACCCAAAACATGATAGCTTAACCTGGATTTTATCAGTATGGTCTTATACTTTTCTCTTAATCAGTGTAGAGTGAGAAGCAACAAGTAATATTTGTGAGCAGAGGTTCAGCTCCTTCAAGCATTTCTGCTCTGAAGACATCACCCCTCTTTGCCAGAGCTTGCTGCTCTCAGAGAGTTGCCAGGACAGTGTCTGTGCTCTCCTCGGCCACTTCAGTATGAAGTCCATAGGTTGACTTAAAGTTGCCAGGGAAGGTAGGGCTAAACTAAGCGAAATGCTGGATTTTTGTGTTGAAGCTACCCCCACAAACACAGGTGGAAAAAGCTTTTTGGTAAAAGCTAAGCAGGGGGCCATGGCCTCCTGCAGAGGAGCAGAACTGATAGATGGGGGTTGTGTTAACCACTCCAGCAAGAGCTGCTCGATCATCTAACCATGTTGTAGGAGAGGCCAAAAAACCTGCTTGAATGGGTTCAATAACAACACAGCCCCTTTTCACTTTGCAGTTAGGGCCCACTGCTGTGAGATACAGCGATGGTTGAACTCCTGCTTACAGCCTGGTAAAAGCACTGATCGATTTTGCAGCACAGTCGGAGATCTTGTCTCACTCGCATTGACTTTCTTCTTCTTGAGAGAAGTGTTCAGTGCGTATTGTTTCTGTGATTGCTGTACTACCTACGTTGCTATACCACAATAGCAAGAATGACTTGCATTATCCATTCTTGTGTCATGTAAAAGTTTTTTTGGATTGCTTAAAAGATGGAATAATTTTAGCAGGGCTGATCTTAGCGCTCCATAGAGCTTTTTGCATAGTTGGGTATTGTAATTGGAATATATTATTGCAAATGGAAATCCATCACAATTATTGTAAAACGCAGCCTTGAGGTCAAAATATATTAACACTCAACCCTTGTTATCTTCAGAACAGAGTTTATTTCCAAGCTCACGTTGCTGAAAGAACAGTGGCAGAGTGTTATCCGGATGGTTCAGCAGAGGAAGAAAGATATTGATGGACTCGTGAGCCAGTGGCAGCTCTTCAGGAGTTCCCTGCAGAGTCTTAGCAGGTTTCTTGCTGATACAAACAGTTTCCTCATAGCTATGAAGAGCCAGGACTGCTATAGCCTTCACCAGCTTAGAAATCTAATTCATGATTTCAAGGTACTGTATTTATTTCTCATAAATCTAAAATTTGTGGGTTTTTTCTCAGGCTAACAACTGTCCAGTAAGGTAAAAAGCTTTTAAAATCACATGCTTTTTGGGGAAAAACAATTGCTGGCACTTTTTCTTAAAGCTAAGCACAGATGAGAAAACAGTGACATTGTGAACGGCTCATTACACTAGGAAACATCCTGGTCAACATTGTCATTTATTAGCCTTGTATAGAACGTGGAAATGCAGGGTGCTAGGGAAATTAGTCAGGAGCCCTGGTCAGTAGGTACCCTCTAGGTCTGTATGCGCCTTGTAGACATGGCTGCTGAATGCAGGCCTTGTGGTTTGCCTGAAGGAAGCAGGCACAGAGGTGGCAAGACAGGAAACAGGGTCCTGTGTGTGCAGGGATGGGCAGGAGGTGCCTGGAGCCAGAGGACAAAGCCTTGTATAGGACACGGAAACGCAGGGTGCTAGGGTCAGTAGGTACCCTCTAGGTCTGTATGCGCCTTGTAGACATGGCTGCTGAATGCAGGCCTTGTGGTTTGCCTGAAGGAAGCAGGCACAGAGGTGGCAAGACAGGAAACAGGGTCCTGTGTGTGCAGGGATGGGCAGGAGGTGCCTGGAGCCAGAGGACAAAGCACTTGCAAGGTGTCCTTGGAGCCACCACTCCAGGATGCACTGCCCTGGGCAGCAGTTCTTCAAGGCAGCCAGTTCTGCACTTTACGTGCAGTGGACAAAGTGTTTTCTTTTGTTAATTTTGGGTATCTTGCTTTTCCCTTTAATTATATACCTCTTTGTTTTATAAGAAAGTAAAAACAAGCAGTGAACTTGATGGTTGTTCAAGGTAATCTAAACCCTTTGAAAAATAGATTATTGCATGCTATTTGCACAGTCCAAGATTTATTGTGTTCCCACACACCTAATGTTGATGGATTAACACATTACCAGTATTCCATTTGGTGCTTGCCCTGTTTGTTTAATCTTTATTTTTACCTGCTGTGTAAAGATGATTTTCAGTAGATTTTACAAGTCAGTGCTCATGCTTCTCCTTAGTAAGAAAAGCCAGAAAGTCGCCTCTCTCCTACTCCAAATAACCCTTCCCTCCTGCTGTTGTTCTGCAGAAAGAAACAATGATCTATCTGCCTGTGTTACAGACCAGTGTGTGTTGTAGGCAAATTATTATTGATGGCTTACTTCACTTGGAGTATGTCATGATTAACAGAGCTGCTATCTCAGAAAAAAATTGTCTTAGTTGTTGATGTTAGAGGTGCTAACAGAATTTAAACTGGTTCTTTATTCAGAAGAACTTAGACAACTGAATTTCCATCTTTTTGTAACTGGTGCACTTTCACTACTGTAGAGTTTTACAGATCAGAAGATCAGAAAGAATCTGATTTTTCTGAAATTGATAAAAAGCAGATAGGAGAAGGTCTATTCATTAATGTTTCATGAGTGTGAACAAACTAGTCCCTTTTTGGGTCTTCACTTCTTCCCAAGTGCAATGCCAGGAGTGCACTTCTAGGGCTTGCTAAGAACAGCTTAGGAACTCTTTTTTTCCTTTCTTTGAAAGAGCAAGGCAGTGATTCTCCAGAGATGGCAAGCCATGTACTCCGTAATCATCGATGTCGGGGAGAAGCTGCGTACTGTAACCGATCCCGAAACCAGCGCTGTCCTCCAGGAGGAGCTCAGCCAGTTACAGCAGCATTGGGGGGACACCCAGGTCCAGCTAGAGAAGAAGAAGGTGCAGCTCAGCAGCACCCTACAGGTAGGCGATGCCCTCCCGAGGGAGGAGCAGCACCTGCTTCTCTGGCTTTTGGTCCCAAGAGCTTCCCTGCCCCATCATCCCCAGAGCTGAAGTCTGCAGTAACAAATCAAATGCTGAGCTGCTGCTCGCCGCAAAGGTGCTCTGAGGGAAGTGCCTGTCACATGGGCTTGTGGGAATATGAAATTGTGGTCCCCTGATTCCCCAGAGGAAAATGGGGTTGGCATCCATCTGTTGCTACAGTGGATGTTCCTGCTCTGATTGTTCTTATGCTCCCTGTGGCCTGGAGCTTTCTCTTGTTTCAGGCTGTGAAGCCCGCGTTAAAATTTAGCTTAGAGGGAGTTAGCATGACTTTGTTGCTCCTGTTGCACCTCTAAACAGAAGGATAAGTCATATTTATTTATTAGAGCAATAAATTTGCTTTCATGGCTAGACAGCACATGGATGTGTCTTAAAATTGAATAGAGTCACCCAGCTCAAAAACTATGCCTCTCAGGTTGGACAAAACAAAATTAGCAGAAATGCTCTGTAAGACAAACCTTAAATACAAGAATGGCTGCACGCTCCTCTGTAAATACACATACCAAATTCTTGTGGGTGGTACAGTGTAACAAAAAGAAAATCCAAATAACCAGAGCACATGATTATTAATTTCAGTGGGTTGAAGAGGCTATTTTGTGACATATCCATAGGGTACACTATGTCATGATAAAGTATCTTAAACTTTCATAACTTCTCTTTGAGCAGAGTTGGGACTGCTGTGAAAAGCAAACCAAGGAATTAGAAAGCAGGCTGCAAGAGCTGAAGGAGAAAATAAAAGATCCACTTCCAGTTGAGCATGAAGAGCTCTACAAAGCCAAGGAACACATTAAGGTATTGAACAGCCGTATTTTATTTAAATAGCTGTAGTCTTTTCACAACTCCTGATTCCCGTAAAAGCAGTTTTTCTTCTTACCTGCTCTGCAGTGACACTGAATTTCTCTCCTCTATACCATCCTGATTGCTACCAACCTGCAAAGTCCAGCTGATCAGAAGATTACAAGAAGAGTAGTAGTGTTCAGATATTTTTTCCTGGTTCTGCTCCCTTTCCACAGTCTGAATTTATAAAATAAGCAGTTCCTCAAACAGAAGGGAAAAAACTCCCTGGTCTCAGCTCAATTGGCTGCTGTCCTATGGCTGAATCTCCTTTTTTTGTTTTCCAATCCATTTTGGACAGTGAGCTCCTCAGGCAAGAGAGCTTGTAAATGTGCAAAGCACCATGCATACCTGCAGGATCTGAGAATAATTAAAGAGAAGGAAAATTAAGAGTAAGGGAGTGGCAAAAGCCCTTGGAGCCCATAATGCACCATGAAAATTAAATGGCAAGGAAAGCATTTCCAAAGGACAGGAGACATTTTGTCTGGACTGGTCAGTGTTTCATCATCCTTTTATGAAGTGAATTGTTGACCTATGTAGTGGGAACAAATAAGCTTATTAACAAGCCAGAGCTTTGAACTCATTATCAGCTGTCTGAAATCTTCTTTGCAAGTGCTGGCTGCCTTTCCCACGGCAGCAGTCTTGCTGTAGCCCTGAATGATTTGTGAGGTGACAGCACACAGCTCCTGTGTCTTATCCCAGTAAGGGAAATTCAGCCACTGAGGCGTCGGGTAGACAGTGCCAGTGCAGTTGCTGCTCTTGGGTGTCACAGTATAATAAAATGAAGGACCAAAATGGCATGGAGGAGAAGGGACCTCCATTCCTCTCCCTGCAGTTCACTCTTCCATGGAATAAAGCTGTTTTAGCTCAGCTCAGGCTTTTGTTTTAGCTCAGACCTTATAGGAGGCTAGCAAAGTCCCATGAAATTCCTTTGTTAGCTCCATTAATACAGGGATTCAACCCTTATTAAGATACATAAATGCATGTGTGCACATCTGTAGGGAGTAACTTGTGAGCTCAAGTAAATTTTGGGCTCAGGTTTGTTTGGGGTTTTTTCTTCTGGTGTTGAATCAGAGCAGATTTTTTAAAAAATTATTATTTAGATAAGTGACTGGATCAAAAGACCTGTGAAAATGCTTGCAGGGCTTGGACCCTGCACACTTCTCTTAGCACAAACACTCTCAACTTTTTTTCCCTTTAAAATGAGAAAAATTAGATCCTCTGTAAGAGCTTTTTTTTGTTAGAGGAGCCAGTGATGCTTCCTAGTAGCCAAATGCCTTGCAAAATGAGACCTAGTACCTCATGTGTAGAATATACTGTTTCCCAGCTGCATGAAGTGGTGTCTCTGCTTTTTAGGTGACAATTTTAACACTGATAAGGAAAATGCATAACCTTGTTATAAAGGGAAATGGGAGCTGGGACAGTAAAGCAGAACAGAGTACGTTTCTGTGAATGAGCAGTTTAAAAGCTCCAAATTCATGACAGATCTGATGAAGTGCCTGTGAAATACTTAATTACAGAAGGGAACCAACTTTATTTTTTTAGCATTTAAATACATAACGCAAAATTGGAAGAAATGCGAGTGGAAAGCAACTTGGCCAAAATAATAGTTTTAAAAACAAACAAACAATCAAAAACCCAAAGAAGTGGGCATGTTCCTTCCTGGCTGCGAAACTCCAAACGCTGCCCGAACACACGGGGAGCTGAGAGGGACCCGCAACGTTTTGGATGCCCCAGGGAATCGGCTGCGGCTCTGCCCTGGGCCCCGGTGGGCTCCGAGTCAGGCCCGGAGCCAAAGCCCCGGGGACCCCGTCCCGCCCAGTCCAGAGCACCGCACAAGCGGCTCGCACATTCCCCTCCTCTCCTCCCCCACCGGCCAGGCAGGGGATTAACGAGCAGGTTTGGAAACCAGAGGAGCTTAGTGCCAAGGCTTGTGCTGGGTGCGTTTCCATGCAGGAGCTGGAGCAGTCGCTGGCGGACTGGGCCCACAACATGAAGGAGCTGCGGGCCATGAAGGTGGAGCTGGCTCACTGCATCCTCACCGAGGACATGGTGGTGCTCAGGGAGCAAGTTGAACATTTGCACCGGCAGTGGGAAGAGCTCTGCTTGCGAGTAAGTCTCCCGCCTCCTCTGGGGTTTTACAGCGGGGTATTCATGGAGCCTGGCAGAAAAGGGGGAGTGGGTGAGCAGACGGGATTTTTATTGGGGTTGGCTCACTTCTGCAGTCCTGGGTGGGGATGGGGCTTCTCCTGGTGCAGCTGGCCAGGGCTGAAGTTTGCCCTTTGTTTCCTGGACACAGACCACTGAGATTTATTTTTTTTTTCTCCAGCCCCTTTGTACCCTTTGAGGGCCTGAATTGCACAGAGCTCAGATGCAGCTGTTTACCGAAATAGGTGGCTTTGTTCTGGGCTGCCAAAGGCAGGCAGGAGGGGAGAGAGGGATAAACACAGGAATTGCCTGAGGACATGGAACAGGGAAAGGAAGGGGGAGGTCTTTGCAGTCTGATGTTAAAACGCCAGGAGAGTTGATAAAGGAAACTTGAATGTGTTTAAATACTGGCTTCTTGGGTTTAAGCACATTAAGAACTGACTTGCCTTTTCTGTAGCAGTAAAATATTGTGAAACATTTGCATTCTTTGTGGCTTGTTGCTATATTACACTTAATTTAGTGCTGCATGTAAAACTGCTGGGGAATATTTACCAGCAAAGTCACATGAGCTTGATTCATTAGGTTATTACGCAGCTTGAATGTGTGTTTACTTTGCCCTATTCACAGGATTGGAAGAAGTAAAATACTTCGGGTTTTAAGTTACTCTGGATGGCTCTACGTGTCAGCAAGCCAAACTCCTGCCTCTCTTTACTTATAAGTCAATAGCTTTTATTTTACAGTCTGTAAGGAATTACTGAAGCACATTAGTATTTCGTGTCTGACCCTTACTCAGGCAGAGGTAAAGCAGTCTTGGTGGGAACTGCAGAGTAATGAACAACTGTGCTTATTTCACAAACTTTGTTGTGATGAAATAGTTCTTTGGGTTTATTTCTTGGCATTGCAAGGAGAAGGAATTTAGTATCTTTGCCTTAAACTGGACGGTTAATCTACAACCAGTGTTCTCTTTGTTGTTGTTTCTGAACTCTGAAAACAATTCTAGAGGCACCTGCCCCCTCCTGAGATGTACAGGCTATTATTTTTAAATAAAAATGCCTGAACCGTTTTCCTAAAATCTGTAGTTAAGCCAATAGATGAGAGGACTTTATTGTTTGAACTGTGGTGAGCAGCCCTAAAAATTAAGCTACCTTTTCTGTGTACCCTGTCTAAGTACACCTGCGGTCTATCTAAGTAGTAATTTAAGTTCAGATTTTATTAAAAATTTCCATTTTTGTTTCCTGAGGGAACAACGTTTAGTTCAGTCTATCTTCGATGGAAGAAAGGGGTGACATGAACGTGGCTGTGTCAGGCACACAGAAATGTGTAGTGGGAGGAAGCTGCTCAGTGCTGCAGTGGAAGAGAGACGCTGAAATGTGTCGAGAGCCTGCCCTGATGCCCAGCGCTAGACACGAGGTTAGGAAAGCAGACTTTATTGGTTCTGCTGCTTGCACAGCCGCTTTGTTTTGGCTGACAAATGAGAGGAGTCAAGATCTATTGTGTGAAACAAAAAAAATCTGCTGTGTAAATGCAGAGAGGTGAAAGCCTGTAAGAGCGAGACGCGGCTCCAGCTGTCACAGCCAGATGCCTGTGCTGGACTGGGCAGGGACACAAACACACTCAGTGAGTAGCTGCACTCAAGGGATTAGCATTTACATAGCAGCCCTTACAAGGTGTACGCACAGGGCAAAGATCTAACAGTTTGAATCAGCAAATATCCTGTCCTAATGAACGCTAGCATATCGGCTGCAAGCCTGGGTCTTGATAATTCTTATAGCTTCCCATGGGAATGCCCATATTGCATGGGCATCGCTGGGGATGCGGAACTGATGCTCAAAGTAAGGCCTGGCTTCAAGGGCTTGTGTTCCTAGAAGCTTGTCTGGGATTTCTTGGCTCATTCATGTTTTACTCTGTCTGTATTGCTCAGACAGCTAAAAGGTGCTTCTGCTCTTAAAATTCTGCCTTGCCTGGTGCTTAGCAGGTGAAAATGGAGTCAGGATATAACGATGGCTTTGCTGACGTGCATAATCTCTTCTTCCACAGAGCAGGTTAACTTGCCTCCACACATGGAGATGCTGCAAGTGGTAGAGGAAGGATGAGGGATTTACCTTTCACACCTCTGAGGTTGAGGGAACAAGGGAGCATCCCAGAGCAGAGGTCCTTTTAGGGAGACTCCCTGAGTCTCCAAGAGACTTCTTCCCATTGAGATCTTTGGAGGTTGTTTCCCTGTGTCTCAAGACATTGCTTTCAGCCTCATCTCTTTGCTTAGATCAGCATAAAAGATCTAGAAATCACTTTCACCTCCCCATCCTTTCCTTAAAATAAGTCAGAATTTAAAGGACAGAAACAATATAGTGGGAGATACACACTTGAACTTCACTCTGAGGTACAAAGCGTAGTGTTAGAGATTAGTCTACGAGAATCAGTAATGGCATTTTGAGGAGTCATGTGCATGTTAGATGTGAAGAGGGAATGTTTCCTGCCGTGGGCTGATTTAGAGTGGCCATTCGCAGCCAAGACAAGGAAAATGTTATGCTTTGTTTGTGTCTTCTTGACACAAAGTTTATTGGTGAGGATGAGGGAATAGTTGTATGTCTTGTCTTGTTTTAGTAGAACTTGTAGCATTTTTTGCTGCCTTTGTCCCATACCTCTTAGTGCAGGAATCCATCAAAGTGGATAAATGAGTATAAATATATATTTAAGACTCCTGGGCTAGAGATAAGTACTAGTGGAAGAGTCACCCTGCTTCTTTCGGAGATGTTGTAGCAGTGATGCTGGCTTTGCTGATTCAGACAGCATCAGACCTTGTCTCGTCTACACAACTTGTTTATCCATCTTGGCAGATGTACTTTTGAGGAAAAAAATCTATAGTTTTCAATAAAAAGGGTAGATTCTTGATGCTGAGTTTTTTTGGAAGTTCTCCAAGCAAACAGAAAGAAAGAGGGACATTTTTATAGAGGGAGAGTAATTACAGTCAGTAGTTGCAAAGTTAGTCTTGCAGAAAAATAAGAACTTACCTAGGTGTTATTTCTCTTTGTTATATATTAACTGTAGTAATTATATATTTTATATCCCTTCTTTGTTTGGCATTTTCTGGTTTTCACTGAGTAATGCTCAAATTGTTACAGAAGCTCATTATTTATAAAGCTGTCACTCAGTTTAATTCTTCTGAGGGAGTGAATGTGGTGTTTGCAAGTCAACTTTTGGCCCTGCCATCCCAAATAAGATGTAACAAAATTCTGTTTGCTGGCTTTGTAAAAAAAGCTAGAGATACTTGATAACTGCTCCTGCAAAGTGGAATATGATCAGATGCAGACTAGAAATTAGAAGGCTCATAATTGCTGGTTTCGCTCCTGAGAAGGATGTTGCCAGCGGTTAATGTGTGCTTATCCTTAGGTGTCTCTGCGAAAGCAGGAGATCGAGGACAGGCTCAACGCCTGGATTGTGTTCAATGAAAAGAACAAGGAGCTGTGCTCCTGGCTGGTACAAATGGAGAGCAAAGTGTTGCAGACGGCAGATGTTAGCATCGAAGACATGATAGACAAATTGCAGAAGGTGAGTAGCAGCGCCGCTTTTCTTCAATTGCAGTCTGATAGCTCGCTGCAGAGACACCATTCCTCGTTTCTTCCTCGCCTCTCAGAAGGGATACGTGATACCAAACCAGCACGTACAGCCTTTTGTGAGGAGAAGAGCTTTTCTAGCTTCAGCTCTTACTCCTTCTTGATGTTCAGACTTGCAGCATAATGCAAACCTGCAGTGCCACCCGGCTGCATGTAGGCATGGAGTGTGATGGGTGTGAGTTGTGGTGGTGGGGGTCTGGGTTGCTGGGCGCACACACACCCACGCAGCACTGCTCAGAGCCTTGCTGGGCATCAGTGGTGTCCTGGGAGCGTTTCACTGCTCTCAGCACTGTCAGCAGTTACAAAACTGGTACTCAGAGGGCAAAGAAAAAGACTGAAGTATAGGTTAGGTCTTATGTCAAACGAACAAGTTATCACAACCAAAAATGAAACCTAATTCTGCTCCTTCTCCTTGGTAGTCAGTGCAGTCAGTGCTTTCTAATATTTTTGTATAAGCTTGATTTTAAACAGGACCGTTATTTTGCTGCAGTGTTCCTCCCCACAGCTTAAAGGTCTCGATATCTAATCCTGGATCTCCTCTGAATAAGAATACTGGCAAAATAAAGCCATTCTAGACTTGAATTTGGGTTCTTTTGAGGTAGCTTGATAGAAAAATTATGTTAAATCAGGAAAGGAGAGACAAAATAAGAACATTAAACTGCTATTTTTAGGAGTACTTACTTTTGACACTTGCAAGTCTTTGAACTGCTTATTTTTTCATAATGGCTTCATTGTGAGAGTGCTTTTCTACTGAGGTTTTGTTTTGTTTTGTTTTGTTTTAAGTGAAAGATGCTAATGTAGAAACCTCAGCCATCACAAGCCAAACCTGACTTCACATCACACATGTGGGAAAAGAAATAGATAGTTTTGTTTGGCTTTTGTTGCTTTGTTTTGCCCAGGAATTAAGCAATGTTTGTGTATGTCTATCAGGATTGCATGGAAGAAATAAACCTGTTCAGTGAAAACAAGCTTTACTTGAAACAAATGGGCGATCAGCTAATCAAGACCAGCAACAAGAGCCGAGTTGCAGAAATAGACGATAAACTCAACAAAATCAATGACCGCTGGCAGCATCTCTTTGATGTCATTGGAGCACGGTAAGAGAATGATTTTTATGTGAGATGAAAGTCAGAAGCTCGTGTCCTTGACCGTCAGAAACACCGACACAACTCTTCAGTTCTGTTGAAGCATATTACTGAGTCAAACTGAAGTTAACGCTGCTTTGTTCTGACTTGCTGTGCTATGACACCAAACGTCTTAATTTATCTAATGGTAGAGGGCATGGTGTAAGAATTCATACAAGCTATAATTTTAATCATGGGAGCTACGTAAAAGGAAGAGTCAGAGTGATTTCTCTCTTGCATATGTTGAATTGCAAGTTAATTTTAGGGCATTATGGTAGGAGTTCATTTGGGCTCTTCAGGAGAGAGCTTCCTGTTTTAAGACAAGATGCTATTTCACCCTATACCTATCTGAATGCACAGACTTTGGGAATAGATTCCTGCTCTACATCTGTAGACAGTTTGATATAATAACGATGTTCCCTTTTTACATTCAAAAATATATGAAATTTCATTTAGTATTAGTGCTACTTCTTTACTCTGTGTGTTTCCTAAAAACAGCTGGAAGACCATACCGCAAGTTTACTTTTTTAATTCAGGATCTTCTGCATGGTGGTGAAATGGAAAATACTGTCGGTTGAAATTAAAACAAAAACCCGCATAGTCGAGGCAATGACCTCTTCTTAAAGGATGAAACATCTTTACGATACTTGGCAGAGTCATGGTCATTTTCGTGTTAGTCCTACTGAGATGATCCCATCTCACCGTTATCTCTGAGTTTCTGCCACAGCTTGGAAGGAGGATGCTGGGCTGGTCTCACCGCCTGCCCAAGTTTATTAGTAATCCAGGAGTAACAAGGTGAACACCACAGTAGTATTGGTCTAAACTTCTCTCCCGAGGTTTGGTTTTGCCTGTAACCACCCTCTCTGGGCTTGCAGAAGCTCTCTTGCTCAGTTAACATTTGGGACAGATAAGGTGGGCGGCTGCGCTGTGACAATGTAGTGCCAAGTGTGTTGGATCTTAATCAGGAATGAGATCTGAATTAATGGTGACACATGAGCTGTGAATGATTAAGCAGGAGCTGCCTCCTTAAGATCTAACATTTTGCAGATAGTCTTGCAGTGCTTTGTCTCAAGGTGTCTTTTTCTTTGATATGGTGTAGGAAAGAAAGCTTCGCTTTTATAAGAGCACTTTTTCTGTTCTCATCTTGTGGTAATGTGCCGCTTTAAAACACTTTCATGATAATTTTTGTTCTGTGTGTTAGTTTCGAATTGTAGTAGTTTTTAAAAGCAGGTTAAAATGTACTGTTTTAAAACTGAAGCAAACATGGCACATTTGTAGTAATGTATAGGAAAATATGCTATAGAAGTGATGGGATATTTAGAGATCTGCAGTGTTATTCAAGTAGACTGTGACAACAGAGCAGATGTTTTTCTGCATGACATGTCTTAAATCTTTACTTTCAGACAAGCGTGTGGTGATGCTTTGAGGTACATTAACATGGATTTGCCTTAAAGCATCAGCACAGCTCTCAGTGTCAGATACCTAAATGGATAGTGCAGCTACTGGGGAGTTGGTGTGATGCTTTATGATTCATCCCATGTTCTTAAACCCGAAAGGTCTGGAACGTGCCAGCTTCTACTTGTGATTTCCACCAATTTTGTGCTCAGGACTAGGGTAACAAACTGAAAGGACCTGACGAAATGTGGTTTTAAGCAGCTCCCTCAGTGGTCCCCTATTATCAGACAGCCCAGTGCACTCTGCTTGTCCTCTTAGACTTAGTGCTAACAGAGGTTCTGCATATTGCAGCATTTTGCAGTGTAGGTGTAGCACATCTCCTCCCTCATCTAATCCACCTCGCTTGGGCTTGGCTCACAGCTCAGCTCTTCACTGCTGCTGAGTGAGAAATAGCACCACTCACAGTAAACTCTGAGCGTGGTCTTAAGAGTTTATTGTGCCCTGTTTACAACCTTACAACTTTCTTTTTTGAGATCGCTGCTGTGGTGGTGGCTTGCTGCTGAGATTCGAATTCTGAAGGAATGAAATTAGTCTTCAGTTGACTGAAATGTCCACCTCACCTCCAGGTATACTTTGGGGCAATAAAGGAGAGTCTCCTCATGTGTTTTTGGGTAGCCTCTCTTAAGCTCAGGAGGTGGAGAGGAGGCAGTGGTTCCACCGATCACAGATGTGACACAGATTGGGCCTCTTTATGGGGAACAGAGCAGAGCAAGAAGCCTTGGGCTAGAGGCAAGATGACCTGTGAGCATGGATTGCGATGCCCCATGATGATAGCCTGTCTCCTTCCTTTTCAGATTGCTTTTGCAAAAACTTTTAAAAAAAAAAATGTTATTTAAGCTGTGCTGAAAGAGCACATGAGAACAGAGCGGTGACAAAATTTGTGTTGGCCCTGTTGCATGAGGCCATCGCAATGTCGACATCTTCACAGGATCTCAGACATCTGCCATCACCAGTTTGGTTCCATGGATGGGATGGGTTGGCTCCAGGGAGGCTGGAGCCTGTAGGGCATAGTACAGCGAAGAGAGACTGCAGCGCTACACAGCTGCTGCACTGGCAGCACACCTGGATGAAGCTCTTTTTATTGGGTGCTGCTTAATTTCTTGGGGAACATAAGAGGGATAGTGGAAATGCATCAGGGCAGAACTGCCAGAGGACCTTAAAGGATTCGGTGATGGAGGTAGGAGAATGCTTCCTGGAGAGAAATGATGGGTTTCTACTGTAGCAGGGAGGCAAACTTGTCACGCTCCTGGAAAAGCTACTTGTAGGAACTTATTTTCACGACACCTCAGTGAAATGAGGTGGTGGTTTTGCTTCTGGCTTTTCAGATCAGTAGCTGTGGCAAGTAAATTGAAGTGAAAATCTTCTGAGGTTTTGGGTGTCGAATCTGTGACTGCTTGAAATTTTGTTTTGGCAAGTGTTACATCTTCAGCGCTTTAACACATCACCAGCTGCTTCCTTTATTTACACTTGCGGGTGCACCACAGCCCACTGCACTTCTTCCCTGGCTCCCAGGAGCCTTGGGTCACAGGGGCAGGGACCCAATCTCACGCTGTCTTCATGGCAGGCCAAGACTCGGGCAATGAGTAAACTACAGAGCCAACTACTGAGTGAAAGGAGAAACGTACATTGAATAGCTGTGCCTTCAAAGCCAATCCTCCATCCCGGGTGCTGAATCTTTCTAGTAGACAAGTACTTTGTGATTCTGTGGTTAAAGATTATAAGATAACCTAAATTCACAAGGTGTCTTAATTGAGATTTAGAGACAGTCTCAGTTCTGTGGCTTCTGGTGTCTCACCCTGCAACCTGAATTAACGTCTTCTCTTTCCTGCAGTGCAGTGTATGTCTGCATGATACCAACACAAAACCAAACCAGTCTTGAGCCAGTGTATCAATAGAGCATTCCTCCTGATAGCTTATTGCACCTTTTTAAATCAATAAACATCCTGGGACAGATGGGCAAATTAGGTGAGCTCTCCATTTAGTCTTTGAAGCGATTCTCTTAGTTCATGGTGACAAGCTCAGATTGGCCATATGGCTGCACTTGCAGCACTTAACACTTTCGTGATATGCCTGTGCTCAGCTATGTGGTGACAAAAGCTTTGCTGCATGTGTTGCAGCTGGAGGGTGGCTTGCTGGAAAAGTCTCAAAATGTTAATTCTCATGGGTAAAGTGGCCATCTAGACATCAGTATGCCTGTAAAGGAGAACAAATGAATTCCTGGTCCGCTCGGAAGATACTTTTACCAAGGGAAGTTCCCGTGCTGAAGTCTCTGTTGATAGAGGGGGAATACAAACGTACTAACAGGGAGAAAGGGAGCGTTGTGCTGACTGTGAAAATAGACACAGAAAATCTCCTGCTTTTGTTCTCTTGTCACCAGCCTTGTAGCAGCACTCTGCCAGAAGAAACTGCTGCATGCTTGCACGTACACCCAAGCGAAGGCCTGAAACAGCAGGAGAGGGAGCGCACCGGCTGCACGCAGCAGTAGACGGCCAAAAGCGCGTGGAGTGGGATTTGCATCCCCAGCAAGCTCTGGAGCAGCACTCCCCGGCCATGCATTAACTGGCAAGCATTGTGTGCACAGCCGTGGCCCTCGGTGTCCTTCCCTGGCCCATCCACCACTGATACACTTTGCTTCCCAGCCCAGTGCTTCCCAGTTTGCCTTCAGCGCTGCTGTTTGCGCTGTGCCTACTGGCAGACTGGAGGAGCACCCAGTCATGGGAGAGTGTCTGCGCTGCCTGGGGTTATGCAAAGTGTTTGGATGGTCCTTGAGCCTTCATTAAAGCCACCAGCTTCATCCGGGGCCAGCCCTGGCAGTTTTGGGTCTGTAAACTGGCTTCTACAGTAAAAAATGTTGCGTTTCTGTACCTCTGGGCATCCTGCAGCTCTTCCCAGTGCCACTAAGCTGTGGAAGGGGAATGCCATTTCTCAGCTGCTCTGGCTGTGGGCACACTGCATTGTGTTTTCTTACGTGGTGGGTCCGGTCTGTGTTTTCAACCATGTGGAGAAAGGCACATTTTTTGTGTATGTAGAAGGAATTGGTTCAAGTGACTGTGACCTTTAGTGCTAGCGTGAAAATACAGGTAAGCTAGCAAGGCCAGATGTGTCTTATTCTTTTAAATGTCAGTCCTTGGCATCTAGGTCTGTTCCCTGTGCTCTAAAGCTGACAGCCCTCGTTGCAGGGTCCAGGGATCCTAAGCTGCCACAACCAAAGTCAGCCCATTCCTCCTCGCATTGAACTTGGGAGGTTCAAGGTGTTTTCAGCTGGTTTCCTGCATCCTCCCGCTGAAACTCCCAAACGGCCTGAAACGGGCCACGTTGCAGTAAAACAGGAGGGAGCTGAAGCTCTGCAGTGACACCACCTTGTGCTGGGCAGGGGCTCCACAGCTGATGTATTGGGGAGCTCCAGTGAAGTCACCGCGCTGTGCTGCTCTTTGCTCCCTGCACCCTCCCTGTGACCGCAGCCCCGACAGCTGCTCCAGTGGCAGCAAGCCCCAGCTTGGTAGCTACAAGGAGCGAGC